ACTCTACCACTTGAACTCCACTTTTGGCTTTTTGGTGGTTAATTGGAGATAAGAGTCTCACAGACTTCCCTGCCCCGGCTGGCTTCAAACCTTGATCCTCAGATCTCTTGAGTGGCTAGGCTTACAGGTAGGAGCCACCAGCTCTCCACTTTAGGAAGCAAATTTTAGAAGTCCCTAGGGAAGGGTAACAGCACAGAAGTCAGTGAGAGAGGAGGGCAGGGCTAGGCGTCCAGAGGGAAGGGCTCTGATTATACCTGGAGAGGCATCTCCAGGGGTACAGCTTAGGATTTCGGGGGCACACATTGCGGATCTGACACAGATAGCTGTGTTGGCTCTGTGGCTCCCCTGGCTGAGTCTCAGGTGCTCTATTTGCGAAATGGAAGCCATGTCCTCATAGGGCTGTTGAGAGGATCCATGCCTTCCAGGCTCAGTGGCACATGCCTGCCACCCTACCTAAGCAGGAGGCTGACTGAGAGGGCTATGGTTGCAGGGCAGTCTGGGCAGAAAAGCAGTCCAAGGAACCCAATGTCAATGGAAGCAGCTGGGTTAGCATTGTATTCCCGTCACCCTAGCTATCATGAGAAGTGTGAAATAGGAGGATGTAGATCACAGTTCCAGGCATAGGCCTGGGGGTGGGGGTGGGGTAGAGGGGAAAACAAAATAACCAGTGCACAAAAGGGCTAGAGGCATGGCTCAGCAGTACAGCCAGTGTGTGCAACAACTTCAAACCCAAGGAAAACGTGCCTGTGTGTATGTAAAGCACCTGGCCACCGCAGTGGGAGCAAGAGGCCTCCCCTGGAGTAGCTCCTACAGCCCACCCCCATCTTGCAGCTAGAGCGGGGTGGAGGCAGACCCGGACAGGTCCCCTGCCTCCTTTCCATCGGGCACACGGGAGGGGTCCTGGAGCAGAAACCAGGGAGGGCTCCGGCCTGCGTCCCCATCCTGGGCGGAGGAAGGAGGACGGCATCTGAGCCTGTGACCAGTCAGTGGGGGCTGGGGGGGGGGTTGGTGAGGGGAGGGGGTGCTCCTGGTGCAGATAGCAGCCTTGAATAACCCTGGGGCGCGTAAGCCTCCCTCGTAGCCCTGGGCTGGCGGGGCGGGCACCTGCCTCCATGCCCTCCCGTTTACAGGCAGTGGTCTATTTTTATTGGTCTTGGTTCCCAGTCCGGATGGACTACGAGAGTTCTCACATCCGTCCTCTTCCTCTGTGGCAGAGCACAAGGCCCAGACAGACCACAGCTTCCTGTCTTTCCTCACTGGGAGGACGATGAAAAGGTTGAGGATGAGGTAGGCCGCCACCATGCGGCTCGGACTCCAGAGCCCACACAGATCCACACCACAGGCCCCACCGCCTCTCGGACCAAACTCCATTCCTACCAGTTTCCTTAAGCAAAACCTTTCCTAGGAGACAAAACCCTCCCAGTGGCCTCAGACGGCCGGCCTTCGGGCTCCGGCAACAGAGGAGGTGGAGGCCCCACTTCCCTTTTTGTCTCAGCGTTCCAGCCTCCGAAGCCCTTTCTAGGTCATTTTCTTGGGGTGTGGGATAGTTGCTGGATTGGGGAAGCCGCATTGTTTTAAACACAATAGGTTCCAGAAATAGGTCCAAGCACTGGCTGCCTTGACTTTTTTTTTTTATCCTGATAACATATTTCATATTTACAAAGAGCCCGTCTGGCATTACAACACGAACGCTCCTGCCCCACCCACGGGAGGGACCGGGCCGTGCAGGATTGTACCCCTACATCCACTCGGACACCCCAAACTTGTCAGTTTTCACATGATTTCTCTTCATATGTTCACGAAGCATTAATGTGTGTTTCTGCACAGAGCTAACCACGGGGAAATGATGGCCATGGGGTGAAGCCTGGGCAGGGGTCTTTCGGGGTGGGGGCATTGTGCACACGTGGATTCCACACCCCTGCAAGTGTAGCTCCACGGAGTGCTGGGATCTTCAAGGCAGCCAAGCCTGGCACAGAGTGCCCCAGAGCGGCTGCGGAGCCCAGCTGAGGCTTGCTTTCCCTTCCTGTGAAAGGGGATGTGGAAGGACCCGTGATAGCACACAGCAGCTCGGCAGCCTCTGGGCCCCTGGGGCTGAGGGCTCCCCGCTGTTTGTGGCAGGGCCCGTGCCCAGGGTTGAGAAAAGATTTGCCCCTGCTAGCCGCTCCCCCGTGAGATGTTGCACCGCGTTGCGTGTGGACCAACACGTGCCTTCTTCCTAGCTGTGCTTGTGGTATTTTTTCAGTACTTTGAACTCAAGGCCTTGTGCTTGCAAGAGCAAGGCCTGTACCATTTGAGTCACACCACTAGATTTAAAGAAAAAAATTATTGTTATTATAAGGGTGATGTTCAGAGAGGTTACACTTACCTAAGTCAGGCAATGAGTACATTTCTTTTTGGACAATGTCATCCCTCCCCTCACTCTCTCCCAGTTTTTCTTCCCATCTCCAACCAGAACTTGTATAGTTCATTTTCAACATAGTGTCCAGTAAGTAGCATTTTTTTTTTTTTTGTGCATGTGCCAGTTCTGGAGCTTGAACTCAGGGTCCCTGAGCTCTTTTGCTCAAGGCTAGCACTCTACCACTTATGCCACAGATCTGCTTTCAGTTTTTTAATAGTTAATTAGACATGTGTCCCATGGAGTTTTCCTGCCTGTGCTGGCTTTCAACCATGATCCTCAGATCTCAGCCGCCTCAGTAGCTAGGATTACAAGCGTGAGCCACCAACAAACACCTAGTTGATCTCTAGATTTTCGAATTAAGATTACTTTTTTACTTAGGGTCTTGTTTTTTGCCCTGTGCCACCCTGGACTGTGATTCTCCTACCCATGGCCTCCTGCATAGCTGGAGGACATCCCCCTCAGCTCACCAATAGAGATAACTTCTTGCCTCAACTGGCTTTGACCCATGACCCTCCGGATTTATTCCCCATCTTGCAGCTAGCATGAAACATCACTATTAACTACTAACTTAAAACATTTTTTTCAGCCTATGTTAGTTGCACAGGGGAGTTTCATTAAGACATTTCCATGCATGCATGCAAGCAAGGTACCCCATCAACTCCACCCCTTCTATCAGTCTCCTTGTTCCCTTCCTCTCCCTTCTTAAAGCAATTTCAGCTGGTCTCATTCATCTGTTTTCATAACGTACACTACTTTGACCTATTCACCTTCTGTTAGCTGTGCATCCTCTTGACGAGTACTTACTGTCAACAGAGCCTGCTTCACTCCCTGTGTATGATACCAAGGAGTCTCATCACACGCTTCACATGTGCATACATCTTATATTTTAATCAGATTTACCCCTTCCCCCAACCCCCTGTTCCCACGACATGCTGTTGAACAGCTTTTAGTGAGGCTTTCTATGCCGTTTTCATACATCTAGCTATTATTATTAATTGTCTGAAATCAGGACTCTCAGCACCTGATGCTTCTACTCACTGGCTGATACTCTAACAGCTGAGGCATGCCTCAAACTCCTTATTTTTTTGGTGAGTTGTGGGGTTTGAACTCAGGGCCTGGGTGTTGTCCCTAAGCTCTTTCACTCAAGGTTAGTGGTCTACCACTTTGAACCACAGCTCCAATTCTGGTTTTCTGGTGGTGAATTGGAGATAAGAGTCTCATGGGCTTTTTCCTGTCCTGGCTGTCTTTCATTCTTAGATCTTGAGCTTCCTGAGTAGCTAGGATTTCAGGCCTGAGCCACCAACACTTAGTTTTGAAAGAGAAAACAAGTTCTACCAAACAGGGCAGGCTTGCCCCTGGCTAGTGCCCACCCTGCTCACCCTTATAACTGCCACCCCTCCCTTCCCACCACAGGGGAGGGAAGAGAAGGCCAGACCTCAGCTCACTCACACAGCTGCTGGCGCGCACACACGCACAAGCATGCACACTCACGCACACATTCACACACACGCGCGCACACGCACGGGCCTGTCCCACAGCCTTGCCTGACCATGCTGCTCCCCAGAAAGTGCGCCTCCCCCTCCATGGCTGGTGTTCGGTGTTTCCTCTTGGGGCCTCCCCCAGCACTCCAGAACCACAAAGAGCCCGGGAGGCGGGGTGCGGCAAGGCCCTGGGAGGATCGGGGCTGGGTGGGACCGCGGGGCCCCGGAGGCCCGGGTCAGGAGGAGGCCGGCCCCGCCCACGGCCCACCAGGGCCCGGCCCGGCCCGACGCGGCCCATCCGGAGTCCGGAAGCCCCTGGCCGCCTTCCAGCAGCCCGTCCGCCCCGCTTCCTGCGCCGCTCAGGCCGGGTCCCGCTGCGTCCTGCCGGCTTTCAGGCGAACCAGGACCGGGTCGTCCTGACCTTCGCTCCTCCTCCAGTCCCTGCGCGTCCACGCAGCCGCCTCCGTCCGGGCGGGAGGCGGGGGCGCGAGGCTGGCGGAGCGGGGACGGTGGGCGCGCCGGCGCGGCCCGGGACCCACCCGCGGAGCCCCAGGGCGGTGACGTGGCCTGGCTCCCGGGGACCCCGCCCATTCCTTCCGCAGGTCCGGAGGGCAGGGGCGGGGACGGAGGGCCGGGCGGGGCACCGGGGAGCCTCGCTCGGCGTGGCCGCGCGTGCGCCTGACAACACCCTCGTGTTCAGAAAAGACGACCGCGCGGGAGGCCCCGCCCCACAGCTCTTCCTCCTTCCGATGGGCCCCGCCCCCGTCCCCGCTGAGCCCGCTCGCACGCAGCAGGCCCCAGCCCCATAGTCCAGTTTCTCCAGACCCCGCCTCCATCTGGCCCCGCCCCTCACGGCCCCGCCCCCACAGCCCATACCCTTCAGACCTCTCCCCAAGGCCCGGCCCCCCTCAGTCCCCGCCTCGCCAAGCCAGCTCCCACCCTGCAGGCCCCGCCCCTCAAGTCCTTGCTCTCCAGACCCCGCCCCTATACCGACTCCGCCCACTAAGCACCGCCCCTTACGGAGTCCCGCCCCCTTCATGCCCCGCCCCCTACCGGTCCCGCCTTACAGGCTGCGCACGGCGGCTCCCGCGGGCTCGACGCCGCTCGGTGGCGGGCTCTGAGGTCGGGTCCGGCGGCCCGGGGCACCCGAGCGCCCGGTGCTCGGCGGGCGTCGGGACGGCCATGGCGGAGGTCGCGCCGCAACCTCTGTCGCTGCCCTCGGGGCTGCTGGAGCTGTGCGCGCTGCTGGGCGCCCCTCAGGACAAGCTCCGCGGCCTCGAGCAGGTAGGTCTGCGAGGGAAACTGAGGCGGGGTTCGGGTGACGGCCCGAGAGCGGGGTCGGGCGCATCGCAGGCGGGCGCCCGGGTGCACCGCGAGCCCCGGCCCGCGGTGGTCCGCGCGCGCCCGCGGAGCCCAGGGCCGGGCGGGCCGGGCGGCTGGCGGCGGCCGACGGCTGCTTGCCCAACCGTGCGGGAAGGGGCGTGCTCCCCGGGGACCGGGGCGCGCGCGGGCCGGGCCTGAACCGGGGCTGTACCTGGCGATGCAGAGGGGCGCGCTGGCTGTAGCGCCCCCCCTCTGGCTCCGGGTGTCCCCCATCCCCACTCTTCTCGAAGTGTTGACTCAAGGGAACCCCCCCCCCCCCGAGTGTGTCATAGACTAAATCCTGGCGATTTGATCATTTCCTTCATTTCCCAGAGCTTGGCTCTCTCCTGAGTATGCCGTGGAGACTAGTATGGACTAAGGAGATTTCGAGCTTTAAATATTCTGCAGTTAGTGGTGAGGTGAGGCGCACAAAGCCCCTCCTCCCTTTCCTTCGTCGACACCCCAACAGCCCCCCCCCCACTTCTCTTTCCCCAGGAAAACAACACTTTTAGGAAATTACATTCTCCCGTTTGTTTCCTGCTTCTCATTTTTTTTTCTTAATTCCAGAGTCCTGACTTTTCTTTCTTTTTCTTTTTCTAGATATTCTTTTTTGTTTGTTTGTTTGTTTGCCAGCCTTGGGGCTTGAACTCAGCTGAGCACTGTCCCTGAGCTTAAGGCTAGCACTCTACCACTTGAGCCACAGTGCCACTTCCAGCTTTTTTTGTTTATATGGTACTGAGGAATTGAACTTAGGGCTTCACGCATGGTAGGCAAGCACTCTACCACTAAGCCACCTTCCCAGCCCTAGATATTTTTAAGTGATCAATTTTATTTTATTTTTTGCTAGTCCTGGGGCTTGAACTCAGGGCCTGGGCACTCTCCGTAAGCCTCTTTGTGTTTAAGGCTAGTGCTCTACCACTTGAGCCACAGCACTACTCCCAGATTTTTCTGAGTAGTTTATTGGAGATAAGAATCTCATGGACTTTCCTGCTAGGGCTGGCTTTGAACCATGATCCTCACATCTCAGCCTCCTGAGTAACTAGGATTACAGGCGGGAGCCACCAGCACTGGGCTAAGCTGACTTTCTTTTTGGACCCTTCTGTGGCCCTGTTTTTCTCCGATCTACTATGCCCAGGACACTGTCATTTTCCCCAGAGGTGCCCTTAATGTCCAGCCAAGGTATGTGTGCAAGTGTTGCCTTTCCACATATTCACACTGGAAGGTAGAGGAAGGTCTGATTATTTTAGTGACAGCAGTCTACCATTCAAATGGGTACTGGAAGCACAGGGGTTGATACCAAGAAAATCTGTTGCTCAAAATAACCAAATAAACATTTGTGAATGTCCGGGGAGTTTCTTCTGCTAGGCTTTATTACTAAGTCAATTTTGACTTCAGTAAAAAGTATCACTGAATATGGAAATGATTTCTGCTTCTCCTTCCTGTCTTTCTTTTCCCTTCCACCCCCAGGTCAGCAGATCCCTTTTGGTCTCCTTGCTCTCTAGCCCTCTCCTTCTGATTGGCTATTTGGCAGTTGCCTTCTTTTCCTTAGAATAGAAAATGACCTGTTTTCACGTGCGGCCTCCTCATTGTGTCACCAGGTTTGCTTTGTGGGCCTTGCAGCCTATGGGCTGCAGTGGGCTCCCTGTGTTTTGAGGCATGTGTCTGAGAGAGGAGAGGCATATTTACAGGGGTGCTTTCCCAGCTTAAAGAGGCTGCAGCCCACCCTAGGTCAGGTGAGACTTTGTGCCTCTGTATTTAACTTTAATCTTCCTTGTTCTAAACTCTAATTCTGGTAGTGTGTTGGCAAAGAGTACTGAAAAAATAGTCCAGGATTAGCAAAAAATAAAAAAAGAGGAGATGGAATTTCTGGTATACTCCTACTTTTAAGACAACAGCAAGGGCTGGGGAGGAGGCTCAGTGGTAGACTGCTTGCCTTGCATGCATGAGGCCCTGGGTTTGATTTCCTCAGCACCACATAAGCTGGAAGTAGTGCTGTGGCTCAAGTGGTAGAGTGCTTGCTTTGAGCTGAAGAACTGAGGGACAGCGCCCAGGCCCAGAGTTCAGGCCCCATGACTGACAAAAAACAAAACAAAACAAGACAATATCAACATTGCAATTAACCAAACATGATTTTACTTTTTTAATTAAAAAAATTTTGGTGGCACTTGGGTTTGAATTCATGACCTTGGAGCTCACTTGGTTTGCTTGTGCTGGTGCTCTACTACTTGAGCCATTCCCTAGCCTAACTTTATTTTTATTTATTTATTTGCCAGTCCTGGGGTTTAAACTCAGGGCCTAGGCTCTATCCCTAAGCTTCTTTTGGCCAAGGCTAGCACTCTACCACCTGAGCCACAGCACTACTTCTGACTTTTTCTATGTATATGGTACTGAGGAATCGAACCTAGGGCTTCAGGCATGGTAGGCAAGCACTCTGCCACTAAGCCACATTCCCAGCCCTAGCCTAGTTTTATATTGGCTATTTTGTAGATGGAGCCTCACAGGCTTTTCTGCCCAGATTAGCTTTAAACTTCAACCTTGTGGATCTCAGCCTCATAAGCTAGCTAGCATTACAGATTTGAGCCTCTGGTTTCTGGCTGAGATTTATTTAGCAATTTTCTTTTGAATGCCTAAGGCTCTAAAGGTAAATATGAATATTACTTAAAAAAACAAACAAACAAACAGCCAGGTGCTGGTGGCTCATGACTGTAATCCTAGCTACTCAGAGGGCTGAGATCTGAGTATCGCAGTTCAAAGCCAGCCTAGGCAGGAAAGTCTATGAGACTCTTATTCCAATAAACCACCAGAAAACCAGAAGTGGTGCTGTGGCTCAAGTGGTTGAGTGCTAGCCTTGAGCTGAAGAGCTGAGGGACAGCACTCAGGCCCAGAGTTCAAGCCCCATGACCACCACCACCACCACCACCACCACGAACAACAAGAACAACAAGAACGGCCGAGGTATGAGACACACTCAATATCAGGTTAAGATAGAGCCTTAACTCCGAGTTTTCTTAGTTGTGGTGGTAGTGGTAAGCATTAAGACAGAATTCCAGAATAAGAGAGGCTCAGGTGAGTTACTGTGGTGAGTTACATTTCCCCTACCTCCTGACTGTAGGAGACCCCCTTTTTTGGTAGCTACGATGTGAGGGGTCTGGGATGGACCCCTCAGAGAGTAGCTGAGAAATGCTCCCAGCTGCTTCCCGGTGTGGGTCCCCAGTACTCCTCTGTGTGAGTCACCTTGTCCTGGCAGTAGTGGTGAGCACCTGGCTCTCCATTCCTGGGGTGGCAGCAGCCAACAGGACATCCTGGATGGTAGTTCTTGTGCCCCCACTCTGCCATTAGTGCAGGAGCCACAGGCCACAGAGGGCCCCTGAGAGCTTGAAGCGTGTCTGAGTGCCGAGAAGCTCTAACTGCATTTTACCTTCCATGGTATTCATCTCAGTAGCCACAGGCTGCAGCTGTGTCGGCTGGCCTGGCTCGAGCACTGAGGAAAGGTGGATTTCTGTCGTATTTCACTCATCATGGCCGGTTCTGGATTTGTAACTTGAGATAGCCAATTAGGGAGCTGTGGTTTTAAAACTTTCTGATGAGGTTTTTATTTTAGGAAAACAGGAAAGATAGATATTGGGTGGGAGCTAAATAAGGCAGCACTTGGGACAGAAGAGGAGGAAATAGCCTCAGCCCTGGTTCAGGTGGTAGAGGTAGCAGTCCTGGTGTTGGCACAGTTCGTGGGCACCTGTCCTCTCAGTTGGAGGGTGAAGGCGGTGTGATGTGTGACACAAGTGATCAGTGAGCATCATTATTATTATTATTTTAATTATACTGATTGAACTCAGGGCTTTGTACCACTGAGTTTTGCCTTTTTTTTTTTTTTTTTGTTGTCAGTCTGGGGGCTTGGATCCTGGGGCTAGGCACTGTCTCTCAGCTCTTCTGCTCAAGGCGAGCGCTCTACCATTTGAGCTATAGCGCCACTTCTGGCTTTTTCTGTTTATGTGGTGCTGAGGAATTGAACCCAGGGCCTCATGCATGCAAGGCAAGAGCTCTACCACTGAGCCATCCCAGCCCACCTCTAGCTTTTTTTAAACAGTTATTTTTGAGATAAGGGTCTCACTTCCTGCTCAGACTGGAACCTGGATCATGTCCTTCTGTTTGTTGCTTTCTTATATAACTGGTTTGACAGTTGCATGCCATCACACCCAGCTTCCATTGTAATACAGTCTCACAGACTTTCTGCCCTTTCTGGCCAGGAATCAGGATCTTCTCCATCTTTGTTGCTATGTAGCAGCTATTGGATGAGAAGGGGTCTCAAATCTGTGCCCAGTCTAGCCTTGAACCTTGATCCTCCTCAATTTAGTCTTCCAAGTAGCTAGTATTACAGGTCTGAGTCACTGGTACCTCCTGGATAACCTAATAAACCTCCTCTTCTTGGGCCGGTCCATTTCCAAGAAATTTTCTGTTGGATAGATGCAACTGTGCATAGGTGAAACTATGCACATACTGTTTGGCGTGAAGAGTCTTTCACAGCTACCCAGGTGCCTTGGAAAGGGGAGGGTAGATGACTTCCTGGACTGTGACACAGTGAAGTACTATAGCTGTGAAAGGAGAACTCAGAAGGCTTGGGAGCAGTTTTAAGTCAGATGACTGCATTGTGAAAAAATGTTACAAGTTTACATTTGCATAAAGAAAGAAAGGAAGTATCCAGGGTGGGGCTGGTAGAGCTACCTTTGAGTTGTGAATTAATGGGAAGGCCTTCCCATTAAGTAAATATTCAGTAAATATAAATAAAGTATTCTCTTTATTACATGTGTACATACTATTCCCTGTGGAAAGTGAGGGGGTATTGCTTATCCAATCAGAAAAGACAGGGATGGGTGGGAGGGGGCCCGCAGGAGGTGATGGATGGGGAGGGGAGGTGTGGTAGGAGGCTACAGGAGGTGTTTACATAGGGGATGACCCCCCCCCCCAGGGGGAGGTCTGAGCCCATCTGTCTCAGTGGAAGGCCTTCTGTTGTGGGGTGTGGGTTGAGTGTGCACCTGGGGTGCCCAGGAAGAGAAGCTTGCTCACTGCAGAGGTGCTGTGTGCCTGGGACTCTGGAGTGGGGGGTGTCTTGGATGCCTTAGAGGTCCCTTGTCTGGGGAGCTCTGGGACATGCTAGCCTGTGATGCATGCAGCACACACATGTGGTGCCCAGGGGAAGTTCGCAGTAATGGTGACACTGAAGGGAGGGGCTGGGGGAGCAGGGTAGGTTTGGTCCCTCGGTACCTGATATACCCTCTTCCCCATCCCCAGACCGGAACTCCAGCGGGACGCTTGGCTCATTGGCTGACGCTCTGGGAGCTGAGCCACACCTCACCCCACTGGTGTGCTCTTTCAACAGGGGGTGCCCTCTTGGCCTACGTGGAATGGGGTGTCGTGGTTCTCGGCCTCACCCCTGGGATGTTTGCTCCAACCACAGGCTCTGTGGGGCTGGGGTTTTGGACCTCCAGGCCCTGCACATCAGGGAGCTGGTTTGTGGGACCTGGCCTGGCCCCGCCCGGGGCATGGGTTACAGACGGGATGTGGAGGTGGAGTCCCAGGTTGGCAGACACAGTGCAGTCTTCTCCCACAGGGAATCTAGGTGGCATGTTTTCATTGCGTTTTAAAATAATGAAACCAGCAGGAGCATAGCCTTTGAACCGCATGGAGCCTGGCTTGCCACGGAGTGCGGGAGGTGCTGGAAGGCTCTGGGTTCCTCTGATTCTTACCAGCATGTTGGCTGGTGGCTGTTCCTTTTCTGCTGGCTGAGAGCCTGCATTCCTAGAGTGCAGTTCCCCTTCCTCCTGTCTTCCCCGTGCTGTGGACCCAGCCTATCCCGGCTGAAACCTTTCTGTTTTCAGTTAGCTTAGCATCTGAGCCATTTCCTTCTTTCTCATGAATTACGTTTTGTTTGAGACAGCAGGGTCTGCTGTGTGGCCCAGGCTGGCCTTGAATTCACCATGCCCCTGCCTCAGCTTCTTGAGTTGTGGGGTCGCAGGTGTGTGCCATCACGCCGCACTTGCGGACTTGCTGTATTTTCCCCATGTTCTTTGGAAAATCTGAAGCCAGCAGGCAGTGCTGGGGCTCAGGGAGCTCATGGTTAGCGTTGTAGTTAGGGAAGCCGCTCAAAGCTCAGCCCATGCTCTTTATCTTACTTGGGGAAGAATGGGCAGGCAGAAGGCTAAAAAAGGTATCTTGAGCCCCTGCAGTTGGCTCACACCTGTAATCCTAGCCACTTAGGAGGCCGAGATCTGCCCATCTTGGTTCAGAGCCAGCTTGGGGCAGAAAAGTCCTCCTGAAACTTTTTTTTTAAATTGTGAAAATACCGTACAGAGGAGTTACAATTACATGGGCAAGATAATGAGTACATTTCTTATCAAGCATTGTTGCCTCCTTTGTTTCCCCTTCCCATCCCTTCTCATCTTCCCTCCCATTCCCCCCCCCCCCAGCTCTTTTTTTTTTGGGGGGGGGGTCCGATCGTGGGGCCTGAACTCTGGGCCTGGGTGCTGTCCCTCAGCTCTTCAGCTCAAGGCTAGCGTTCTACCACTTGAGCCACAGTGCCACTTCCGGCTTTTTTCTTTTTGCTTATGTGGTGCTGAGGATTCGAACCCAGGGCCTCATGCATGCAAGGCAAGTGCTCTACCACTGAGCCAGCTTCCTAGTCCCCCAACTCTTTTTTTTTTTTTTTGTCTGTTGTGGATCTTGAACTCTGGGCCTGGGCGCTGTCCCTCAGCTCTTCAGCTCAAGGTGAGTGCTCTACCACTTGAGCCATAGCGCCACTTCCGGTTTTCTGGTGGTTCATTGGAGATAAGAATCTCACGGACTTTCCTGCCCGGGCTGGCTTTGAACTACGATCCTCAGATCTCAGCCTCCTGAGTAGCTAGGATTACAGGTGTGAGCCACCAGCGCGCTGCTTTCCTGAAACTCTTATCTCCAATTTACCACTCAGAAACTAGAAGTGGTGCCGTGGCTTAAGTGGTAGAGCACTAGCCTTGAACACAAAGAGCCTCAGGGACAGTGCCCAGGCCTGAGTTCAAGCCTTACAACTGACCAAAAAAAAAATGCATCTTGTCCCAACTTGAACTTTCAGAGAATTACCACTGAGTGCCTTCTCTCACTGGTTCTGAGGAGGTGGCTCTGTCTTCCCAGTGCAGTGCGGAGCTACTGGGCCTGTGTGCTGGGCGGTGGAGGCAGAGGGGAGGCTGAGGGTGTCCAGGTAGGGAGGACATTGAAGAACAGGAACAGACACCTGACCAGTCGAAGTCTCCTTTCCCCTGTTCAGGTTGCCCCGACAAGGGGAGGCAGAAGCCTTCCTTCCCTGGAGCCAGAGGTGCTGTCTGTGTTTGTGCCTCCCTTCACGAGTGGAGAGGACAGCCAGGTGGCGGGCGCCGGCGGTGGCACGCTGGGCAAGGGCCGAAGACGCTCCTTCCGGAAGAGGAGAGACAAGCCCCGAGCCGAGCCCCCCAGGGATCTCCAGGGTCACTCCAGGGGGCCAGACTTGGAGGGCGTCAGCATCCCGGGCGGCGTGGACCTCCTTGCCTTGCCCCAGCTGTGCTTTCCAGGTGTGCCGCGTGGGGGGGGGGCCTGTGGTGTCTGTTCCAGAGGCCCACGTGCCCACGTGGGGAGGATGGCACATCCCAGCCGGCGGCGGGATGGTGTCGGGCAAGCTAACGCCATAGGGAAGTTGAAGTCACTTGGTGTCCCCCGTGCACAGCAGCCGAGTCCTGGAAGGCAGGGGGCATGGACCTCCAGGGTCCGCACGAGAAGGGGCTTCGCAAGGTTTCTGCGCTTGGACTGGAAAGGAAGTACTGAAGGGCTTGGGGATGGTTAGAAGATCGCCCTGGGGTGATTGGGTCCCAGAGTGCCTGAGCCTCTCCCCTCCCGTTTCTATGTCACCGAACAAGAAGCTCAGGGCCCCCTACTGTCCCCATGTGCTCCAGTGCCAACTGACCGGCGAGCCTAGGCTTCTTTTTTTTTAAAATTTTTTAAAATTTTATTTATTTATTTATTTGCCTGTCTTGGACCTGAACTCTGGGCCTGGGCACTGTCCCTCAGCTCTTCAGCTCAAGGCGAGCACCCTACCGCTTGAGCCACAGCGCCACTTCCGGCCTTTTCTGCTTATGTGGTGCTGAGGAATCGAACCCAGGGCCTCATGCATGCAAGGCAAGTGCTCTACTACTGAGCCAACTTCCCAGCCCAACCCAGGCTTCTTTTTTTTTTTTTTTTTTTTTTGTCGGTCGTGGGGCTTGAACTCTGGGCCTGGGACCAGGCTTCTTTTTATCCCTAGTTTTATGAAATGACCAAGTGGCTGGACCAAGAGTTTGGCCCAGGGGCCTTCCTGGGGCTCTCTGGGGACAGGTGTGGGGTAGGCATCTGCTGCCCCTCCCCCGGGCACTCACCTGGGTGGGCTGGGGTGATGGTGGAGAAGCTGCAGAGGGAGAGGATGGGGGTGGATATCTGTGTACATGGGAGGAGGGGGTTGATGGGTAGCACAGGCCTTTGGGTGGTGGAGGATCTGGTTTACCCTCTCTCTGCCTGGCCTGCAGGGGGCGTGTGTGCGGCCTGGGAACCCAAGGAGGACCACGTGCACTTCCTGGTCCTCACTGACGTCTGCGGGAACAGAACCTATGGCGTGGTCGCCCAGTACCACCGGCCCCTGCACGTAGGTGACTGAACCTGGTGGAGAATGATCAGATACCTGAAATTCTCCATTTTAAATGGTGTGATTAACCCACTGTGTGTTCACAGTGTTGTGCCACCACTGTCTGGTTCCAGTTCTTTTTTTGTGTGTGCCAGTCCTGGGGTTTGAACTCAGTGCCTAGGTACTGTTTTCTAAGCTTTTCTGCTCAAGGCTAGTGCTTTACCCCTTGAGCTATACCTCCACTTCTGATTTTCTGGTGGTTAATTGGAGATAAGAGTCTTACTGACTTTCCTGCCTGGGCTGGCTTTGAACCATGATCCTCAGATCTCAACCTTCTAACCAGCCAGGATTATAGGCAACAACCAATCATGCTTGACTAGTTCCAGAACATTTTTAACCCTCCTAGACCCCATGCTCTAATCTAGCCACCCCCCCCTCCCCCGAGTCCTGGCAGACTGCTAGGCTGCCTTCTATCTCTGGATTTTTTTCTTCTGGGTATTTCAGGATGTGAAATTGTACAATATGTGGCCTTGTGCTGGTTTCTTTCCCTCAGCTTGATAGTTCTGAGGCTTATCTATGTCCTGATATGTACTGAATTCCTTTTTATGGCTGAATAATATTCTACTATTTGTGTGCCTTGTTTGATTTCTATTTCTCCACGAATGGGTGTCATTGATAGATTGGTGAGTGTGTTTGGCTTACAGTTTGCCTACTGTGCAAGGTGCTTGGTTTTTGACTTCCAAGCACTTGTCTTTCATTACAGCTGGGGGTATTGTCTGGTTGAGGCTGTGTTTGTGACTCTGTCTCCCTCCCCACACAAAGCCTTAAATAACCCCTTCCCTCAGGCCTGCCCATGCTCCCACTGCTGGGACCCTGGCTGTGCTGTCACCCAGGTTGAGATCCCCTTGTATCGCCCTTGGCCTGTGTGGCGTGTGGCGTGTGGCCGTGGCATGTCTCCATAGGAAGACCCGTGCCTGTGGTGTTAGGTGTCCCTACCCCACCCAGGGCAGTGTGTGCCTGGCTGCCTCTGACTGGGGCACTGAGACCCCAGGGCACCCGTGTCCCTTGGCCTGGGTGTGGGGCGCCTGAGCCTCTGTGGGAGGTGACGGGGCGATGGCTGGCGTTACTCTTCTTCAGGACGAGTACTGCTTCTACAGCGGGAAGACTCACTGGGAGCTGTCGCGGCCCAGCGCAGGCACCGCCGGCTGCTTTGTGCCCTTCGCAGTGTGTGTGGTGTCCAGGTTCCCGTACTACAACGCCCTCAAGGACTGCCTGTCCTGGTGAGCCGGGGCCCTGGCGGCGTGGGTGGCCCCGTCCAGAGAGGGACTCACGCTGCTGTGATTCACACTGGAGGTGCTAGCACTCGGTTGAGGCGCGCTACGTGGACTGAACTAAAACTCACCGTTTCAGTATTCTGTTCATTGTCTCAACACGTGTGCCTCTGTGCGACTCCCTGCTGTGGAGGAGGACAGGTCACCGGGTGCCTCCCCTTCGCAGCCCGCTCCCTGTCCTGCGGTCAGGATGCCGCTCACCCATTCACTCACCCACTCACTCTTCCTACGCCATGCATGGTGCTGGGGTTGGACTTGCCAGGCAGGCACTCTACCACCTGAGCCATTCTCCTCCCCCATTATTTGTTGGCTTGTTTATTATGTTTAAGACAAAAGCTTGCCCTGGAGCCCAGGCTGGCCTCAAGCCTGTGATCCTCCTGAGTGCAGGGATTATAAGTGTGTGCCATGCCTGTTCCATTCTTAAAGTCATCTACTTACATCTGAATGCATTTTGGAAACAAGCTCCTTCAAGCTGTCTCCTTCAGGGTGGCCAAAGTCTATTCCATACTGAAGTCTTAATACACAGAAAAGCATGATATCCAGCCATTGTTTCACACATTGAACAGATGCACATGACCAGTGTCTAGAGCAAGGAACAACATGACCATACCCGTTCCCAGGTCTTCACACCCCTTCAGGTACTTCCAGCCTTCTCCCTGTGACTTGGGGAGGAAAGGCCCCAGGAAGGGCTCAGCCTGGTTAGAAATGCTGAGGGGCAAAGCTAGGTGGAACTCAGCCGCAGAGGGCAAGCGAGCGGTGCCTGGCAGGCCTGAGGCCGGGGCTCTGTCTCAGCACTGAGGATGACAATAGAAATGTTGCTTTGAGCCGGGCACCCAAGGCTCACACCTGTAATCCTAGCTACTCAGGAGGCTGAAATCTGAGAATTGTGGTTCAAAGCCAACTCAGGCAGGAGAAAGTCTATGAGACTATCTCCAATCAATTACCAAAAATTTAGACATAAGTAGAGCTGCGCCTCAAGTGCCTCAAGTGGTAGAGCACTAGCCTTGAGCAATAAAGCTTAGGAGCAGTGTCCAGACCTTAAGTTCAAGCCCCAAGACCAGAGCATGCATATGTGCACACGCGTGCGCGCGCACACAACACACACACACACACACACAGGTTACTTTGATTTTGTGACTGGAATCTTGTGTTTTGATTTCAGCTTATTGACCCATCTGAAGCTCTGTAAAGACTTTGAAGTTGATAATCATATCAAAGACTTTGCTGCAAGACTGTCGCTGATTCCCAGCCCACCACCTGGACCACTGCACCTGGTGAGTTAATCCTGGAATCATGTGAAACACAATCCTCAGATCTCAGCCTCCCGGGTAGCTAGGATTACAGGCATGAACCACCAGTGCCCAGCTGTTTTTGCTTTTCTAAAAACATCTATTAGCCAGGTGCGGGTAGCTAAAACCTGCAATCATAGGGCACTTGGGAGATTTGAGATCTAAGGATGACAATTCAAAGCCATCCTGGGCAGAAAATTCCATGACTCCATCACCAAAAATAATGAGCAAGAAGCCAGGTAGCCAATATAACTGGGGTGAGAAAAAGATGAATCCTCTTGCGTTGTTGGTGGGAATGTAAACTAGTACCACCACTCTGCAAGGAGGTTTGGAGATTCTTCAAAAAACTAAACATAGGTCTTCCCTATGACTGTGCCATACCACTCTTGGGCATCTATGCATATCATTACAAGTCACGATGTGGTGAAGACACTTGCACACCCATGTTCATTGCTGCACTGCTTACAATAGCCAAGTTATGGAAACAGCCCCGCTGCCCTACAACAGATGAGTGGATTAATAAAATGTGATATATACATACATATAAAATGTGAATACGTATATACATACATATATATGTATACATATACACACATACACACAATATGGAATTCTACTCATCCATTAGAAAGAATAAGCTTATGTCATTTGCAGGGAAATGGCTTGACTAAGAACGAATCATGCTAAGCCAAGCTCAGAGTGACAGATGTCACATGTTTTCTCTCACATGTGGAAGCTAGATCTAAAATCTAACTGGACATAAGTACGTATACAGGACTCTTGACATTCACACATATTCAGACTAAAGGAGGATACACTGAAGGGGGGAATACAAAGCTGTTACTTCTCTGGACATTAAAAAACATTAGTTATTGCCAGGCACCAGTGGCTTACAACTGTAATCCTAGCTACTAAGGAAGCTGAGATCTGAGGATCACGATTTGAAGCCAGCCTAGGCAGAAAAGTTCTGATGAAACTCTTTAAACTTTTTTTTTTTTTTTTGTCAGTCGTGGGGCTTGAACTCTAGGCCTGGGCGCTGTCCCTCAGCTCTTCAGCTCAAGGCGAGCGCTCTACCACTTGAGCTACAGCGCCACTTCCAGTTTTCTGGTGGTTTATTGGAGATAGGAGTCTCACGGTCTCTCCTGCCCGGGCTGGCTTTGAACCACGATCCTCAGATCTCAGCCTCCTGAGTAGCTAGGATTACAGGCGTGAGCCACCAGCGCCCGGCTAAACTTTTTTTTTTTTGTTGGTCGTGGGGCTTGAACTCTGGGCCTGGGTGTTGTCCCTCAGCTCTTTAGCTCAAGGCTAGCACTACCACTTGAGCCACAGCTCCACTTCTTCATGACTCTTATCTGCAATTAACCACTCATAAACCAGAAGTGGTACTGTGGCTTAAAGTGGTAGAGTACTTGCCTTGAGCAAAAGCCCAGGGACAGTGCCCAGGACCTGAGTTCAAGCCCCATGATCAACCAAAACAATGTTTTTCGTTGAAATGGAAAAAAGCCAGTGTAGAGGCATGGTTCAAGTGGTAGAGTGCCAGCCCAGAGCAAGTGTGAAACCCTGTGTTCAAATCTTGATTCTTATTACTGGCAACACAAAAGGACATCTATCAGATGTTTTGAAGTATTTGATGAATGTCTAGTTTTGTTTACTAGTCCCTTCTGGTAGAGAGTACAGGGAACTCCTTATTTTTCTTCTTCTTTTTTTTTTTTTTTTTGTCAGCCGTGGGGCTTGAACTCTGGGCCTGGGCACTGTCCCTCAGCTCTTCAGCTCAGGCTAGCGCTCTACCACTTGAGCCACAGCACCACTTCTGGTTTTCTAATGGTTTTATTGGAGATAAGAGTTTCACGGACTTTCCTGCCTGGGCTGGCTTTGAACCATGATCCTCAGACCTCAGCCTCCTGAGTAGCTACAATTACAGGCGTGAGCTACTAGCTTCTGGCTTTCCTTATTTTATTGTTATTATTAAGTAGTTGTACAAAAGGGTTACAATGCCAAAAGTCAGGTTAGAAGTACAGTGCGTCTTTGTCACTGTCACCCCTTCCTTTGTTCCCCCCATTCCCCCTGTGGTGTACCCACAAGTTACATAGCTCATTTTTTACATAGTGTATGTTGAATACAGTGACTGCATTTGCTCACCTTCCTCCCATTACTGTGCCTCCCCCTTGCCCTCTCCTCAAAACCTGTTTCCCCTTCCTCAGATTAGTTTTGATAAATAATGCATTAGCTGTTCAGGGCATTACACTTGTTGGGAAAAACTGGAGGAGAGCAAGGGAAGGGGTGATACTGTCCAAAAGGGGCTGGGAAAGTGGCTCAGTGGTAGAGCGCTTACCTTGCATGCATGAGACCCTGGGTTCGATTCCTCAGCACCACATAAGCAAAAAGAAAAAAGCCAGAAGTGGCGCTGTGGCTCAAGTGGTAGAGCGCTAGCCTTGAGCCGAAGAGCTGAGGGACAGCGCCCAGACCGAGTTCAGGCCCCACGACCGGACCCAAAAAAAAAAAAAAAGAAATGTACTCTTGGGCTGGGGATATGGCTTAGTGGTAGAGTGTTTGCCTAGCACGCATAAAGCCCTGGGTTTCATTCTTCAGTACCACATATACAGAAAAAGCCAGGAGTGGCACTGTGGCTCAAGTGGTAGAGAGCTAGCATTGGGAACAGAGAGGCTCAGGGACAGTTCCCAGACCCTGAGTTCAAGCCCAGGACTGGCAAAGAAAAAAAAAGAAATATACTCTTTACCTGACTTATAAAACTATAACCTCTCTGTACATCGCTTTTATAGTAACAAAAATTTGAAAAGATACTTCTTTTTAGTATTGGGTTTTGAACTCAGGCCTTGTGCTTGCTAGACAGGTGCTCTACCACTTAAGCCATATCTCCAGCCTAAAGTTCTTTTTTTCAAATGTTTTTTTTTTTTTTTGGGTCCGGTCATGGGGCCTGAACTCTGGGCCTGGGCGCTGTCCCTCAGCTCTTCAGCTCAAGGCTAGTGCTCTACCACTTGAGCCACAGCGCCACTTCCGGCTTTTTTCTTTTTGCTTATGTGGTGCTGAGGAATCGAACCCAGGGCCTCAGGCATGCAAGGCAAGCGCTCTACCACTGAGCCACCTTCCCAGCCCTTTTTCAAATGTTTTGAGTGACAAGTTTTAAAAGGAACTTTGGCTATCTAGTGGAAATACTTAGAATATATAATTTTAATAATTATATGACATCATCCAGAAAACTTTTTTGTTTTTGCCAGTCCTGGAGCTTGAACTCAGGGCCTGGGCTCTGTCGCTGAGCTTCTTTTCTCAAGCCTAGCACTCTACCACGTGAGCCACAGCACCACTTCTGGCTTTTTCTGTATATGTGGTACTGAGGAATTGAACTCAGGTCTATCTTTATGCATGCTAGGCAAGCACTCTACCACTAAGCCACATTCCCAGTCCTTACGTCTTCTTCTTTTTTTTTTTTGGTGCTGGTCCTTAGGCTTGAACTCAAGTCCTGGGCGCTGTCCCTGAGCTTTTTTGTTCAATGCTGGTGCTCTTATCACTGCTGGCTTTTTTGGATTGGAGATAAGACTTTCCTTCCTGAAAAAAAAAAAGACTTTCCTTCCTGGGTTAGCTTGGAATCATGATGCTCAGATTTCAGCCTCCTGGGTAGCTAGGATTACAGGCGTGAGTCACCAGCGCCTGGCCCCAAGAATACTTCCTTTGAACAAGCTCCATTTAGAGCTTGAGCCAGTTGGCACAGTGTCTGGGTTGTGGCTAGTTTTCGACATTCAATGAGCAGTTGGCTGGTGAGCTGCAGAGCTGGAAGGGGCCCCGCTTCCAGGATGCAGTCAAGGGGTGTGCCGTTTCTGTGAACCTAGGGGCAGCAGTGCCATCTCTGGGGACTTGTTATTCTGTGACTCAGCTGTATGAATCTTCCAGAACGGTTTCACATACTAATCTGCACCAGGTTGTGGAAAAGTAGGCATTTCAGCCTCCACCGGGAGCAGCTCTGAACTAACTGTAGCCTTGGTCACCGCAGATGTTTAACATGAAGCCGCTACAGGTTGTGTTTCCCTCGAGAGCGGATCCCGAGAGCCCCATTGTGGATCTAGACCTTCACCTGCCCTTGCTGTGCTTCAGGCCCGAGAAGGTTCTGCAGGTAGGGGGCATCATGCTGATGGCTTAATGGGGCATTAGATGTGTGGAGCCAAGCGAGGCCTCGTGGGCCATGCCTGTAATCCCAGCTCTGTGGGAGGCAGAATTAGGACAGTTGTGACTCAGGCTGGCCCAGGCAGATGTGTGAGACTTACTCTGAAAAATAACTCAGGCAGAAGGTTGGGGCTATGGCTCCAGTGGTAGAGCATCTGCCTGGCAACTGCGAGGTTCTGATTGAAAACACCATTATTGCAAAAACACTCAAAACAATCCAACCTATAGAACTAGGATTTCTGAAATGTTTATTATTGCGTAGAGCCGCCTTCTACAGCGGTGCACGCTGTTGGCAAATAGCAGCTTTTAGCCCTTTATTTTTCCACTGGGACTGAGTACAAGGCCTTTCAGTTCTCTGCCACTTGAGCCATACCTCTAGCATGCCTGACCCCAGCAACTCGTGCTTCTTAGTCAAGTGTGGTACTATCTTTCATTTGAGATAGGGTCTGACTTTGCTCTAGCTGGGGCAAGTAGCTGTGATTCCAGGTCTAAGCCACTGTGCCCTGCTTTGTATGTTCTGTGGGATCTTGGGTGGCCATGGTTTTGACAGTGGATTGTGGAGATTGGAAGACGTGCGTTCTGGTTGTATTGGATGGTAGTTTATGGAGTTTTAAGTGTCTTGTGCCCAATCAGAGGGGTGCAAATGGTGCTGTTGTCCCCCCAGATCCTGACCTGCATTTTAACGGAGCAGCGCGTCGTCTTCTTCTCCTCGGACTGGGCCTTGCTGACGCTGGTCGCAGAGTGCTTCATGGTGTACCTGCACCCGCTGCGGTGGCAGCACACCTTCGTGCCCATCCTGTCCCGCCAGATGCTTGACTTCGTCATGGCGCCCACGTCCTTCCTCATGGGCTGCCATCTTGACCACTTTGAGGAAGTCAGCAAGGTGAGCACCTACGGTGGACTTGGGGAGTCCCCCGCAAGGACGGATGGGAAAGGGCTCGAGCTTAGATGCCAGGGCCTGGCTTCTATTGTATTGTAAACGAAGGGAAGGGAAGGGAAGGCTCTGCAGTGCCGGCAGTGCACCCTTGTCCTTGATGCCTGTGGTGCTTTGGATGCCACGCTGTGTGCTGCACACACACACTGGGCGCCGTCTCCCCGCCTCAGCCCTGCCCACACCCCGTGTGCCATCGCCCCTGCTGCAGCCCGCACACTCACTGGGCGCTGTGTCATGCGCACTCATGCCAACCCTCAGTGAATCGTGGGGTAAGTTTAAGGCACCCGCTTGGCAAGGGGCAGAGCCTCATGTCACCTCTCAGTCCTCTAGGTTGCAGAGCTGCTCGAGGGCCAGTGGGACCATGGTGGGGACGCTGCCGGCCCTGTTGGTTGTGCCTGTCACAGTAGTACAGATCCGTTGTAGATGTGATCTGTTATAGTGATCACCTGTCTCAATGGCCATCTGTTGTCATGGCAAGCTATCGCCATGGAAATCTGATGTTGTGCTGATCTGTTGTAGAGGTGAACTGATGAAATGACCATCTGTCTCAACAACTGTCTGTCACCATGGCCATCTGTTGTGGGTCTGTGCTAGATGCTGTGATGATGTTAGCAGGTAGCAGGCTGGGTTTTTAGTTCAAAGACACCTTTATGAGATACAATGACTATCCCACGAAGTATACCAGATCACAATGTCCAGTTCATAGTCTTCACGACCATCACTTCCTCATTAGACATTTTCAGGAAGGAGCCTGTGATATGGGGGAGCAGTGCCTTCCCTGAGCCTTGGTGGCTGCCAGTGGAGTCACAGGCTCTGATGTCATTGGTGGGCTCCGGCACAGCTCCCTGGTGTCCGGCCCGCCCCTTTAACTCAGCCCGCGCTCCTGAGGTCCCTCTGCGATGCAATGCCTGTCAGCACTTCATCGTTGCCAGGCTGTACTTTGGATGCTCAGTGGCCACCTGCCAACTGGACGATTGCTGATGGGCATTGGGGTTGCTTTGCCTTTGGCCTGGTGGGAAATGTTGCCACGGCCACTCATGGACAAGGGTTGGGTGCCCTCCCGTGTCTTCCTGTGTGTGTGTATCCACAGGGGCAGGCACAGAGGGCGGTGGGTGGGTGGGCGCCCCTCACTGTGGGGCGCCAGCTTGTTCTGAAGTGGCCGTGGTGCTGCGTTCCTAGGCAGCAGCACTTGGTACTGTTAGGTTTGTTTCAGTTCTAGTTCTTGCAGCATCTGGTGGCTTGATGTGTTTACTTTTGGAGTCGGGCTGGGGAGTGTATGCATCTTGGGCACACTGGCAGTTCAACATGGCAGGTGCATGTTTGCTTGCTTGCTGCTAGAGAGCTCTCACTGTGTAGCCAAGTTGGCCTTGAACTCCTGATCTTCCTGTCTCAGTCTCCCAAGGGCTGGGGTTGCAGGCATGAATGACCATGTACTCAATTGTTTTTTTATTTTGGGCATGTCCAGTGTCCACAGAAGTGGAAGAGCAGAGGAGGGAGCCTGTCCTGCCCCTCACCTCGTTCAGCATCTGACTCCTTGTCCCCACAGCTCCACTTCTTGGGGGGCTAACGCAGCCCTTCCCCCAGGGGCTCAGCAAGGGGGCAGCTCCTGACTGACCTATCCTTCCTGTAGGGGACAGCGTGCTTTCTGTGAGTCAGCAAGGGACAGCTGGGCTTTAGGAGAAGGCCGCGGAGACCCCTGGGAGGAGCGGGAGGACTCGTCAGTGTTGCGTCTGTGGCTGCGCGCTCCAGTTGAAAGCTGGGATTCCTTTTTTTTTTTGCCATTAGGGGGAAAAGCCATCTTGTTCTTGGCTCCTCAGGAGGGAAACTTCCTAGGCACATTTGCTTAACCATTCTGGACAACTGTCATGCAGGAAGCTCACTTAGTGATTTACGTGTTCTGGAAAATTCCCGAAGCGGTAGTTGCTCCTCGGTGGAAACCCTTGGGTTTGCTTTGATGCTCTGTTTTTCAGGGCTGATGGTGGGATTCTCGGGGGACCTGCAGCACAAAACCATTGCACAGGGCGGGCCTGGGCCTGGATTCTGTGTGTTTGCCCCATACCACTTGTACTAGGAAGAAGCTGGTGTTTGCACAGTTCACGTGCCACTGGAGGGTTGGCCCAGACAAAGGTGCTGGCACCGTCAGAGCCCCAGGGCAGTGCCGCTCGCTGTGGGTTTTGTCACAGATAAGACTGTGTAAGTTGCCACTTGCATAGTTCCCAAATTCCACTTGTATGTGGTCACTTGGCCTAGGACCCTGCCTCTGCTCTGGTCCAGTGGGTGTCAAGCTGGTTGGGCATTTGGGGGACAAATTGAGTGTTGAGTGTGGGTGGAGTTCTGGAATGTTCCCTAAGATTTCATGAAGTTGTGCGTGCAGTGTTTGGATCAGGGTCATTAAGCACTCGTAGCATGCCTTGCTGTCTAGACTTGAGGAGGAAAGGCTCTGATGACCACAGTGACCCGTGACCTGACGAGAAAAGACAGACACCGCTCCCTTGCACTTGGCGGCGTCCCCAGAGGAGCCCGGCTTGTAGGGAAAGAAGGAATGGCGGTTCCCGGGGGCAGAGGAGGATCAATGGGGCGGCAGTGTTCTGTGGATGTGGGGTTTCAGGATGGAAGCAGGAGAAGCTTCTAGAGACCCGTCATGCAAGAGTCATGCAGCTAGATGAGTATAAAATGTCTGCCCCACTGTGTACTGAGACAGCCAGGTGGTCAGTGGCAGGTTTTGGATATCTTAAAAAAAATTTTTTTTTTTTTGGTCAGTCATGGGGCTTGAACTCTGGGCCTGGGCGCTGTCCCTCAGCTCTTCAGCTTAAGGGTAGTGCTTTTATCACTTGAGCCACAGTGCCACTTCCGGCTTTCTGGTGGTTAATTGGAAATAAAGAGTCTCACAGACTTTCCTGCCTGGGCTGGCTTTGAACCATGATCCTCAGACATCAGCCTCCTGAGTAGCTAGGGTTACAGGTGTGAGCATGGGTGCCCAGCGGTTATGTGTACATTAACACAACTAAAGAGACTAAGAAAAAGACATTTAATCAGACTTAGCCCATTCTTATTGTGCATACTATAGTTTTTTTTTTTTTTGTGTGTGTGTGTGTGTGTGGGGGGTGGTAATTGAACTCAGGGCGTGGCTGATTCTAGGCAAGAGATTTGCCACTGGGCCACACCCCAGTCCTCTACTGTGTGTTTTGTGGGTAATGTGTACACGCTACATGGGCAAACATGCTGATGCTGTCCTAGTGAATCAGAACTGTATTTGGGTGTTTTGAAACGCGGCTCTCATGCCTGTCTTTGCTTTCTAGGAAGCTGATGGCTTAGTCCTGATAGATATCGACCGTGGGAGCGTCACCTGTCCCGAGTCCCCCAACAACAACCTGGGCATTCCTGAGGTCCCGCTTGCCGCGGCACAGGAATTTATTCAGAGGTAACGAGAAAGGTGTGTGTGAGAGCATCTTGGTCGCACTCTGTATTTACCACCTGTAGTGCTTTTTCCAATTCTATAATGCTGTTCTACACGTTTAGTTTGGACATTGTGAATATTTTAAGATAAATACTTTAATCTTGTCAAAATACAAATTATGGCCCAAAATTGTTGGGGGTCAGTCATGACCCCTGAGAAACCTCTTGACTTTTGTCTCAGACTCCATACTGATATATTTTTTTTAGGTTCTTTATTCATTTGTCCATCCATCTATCCATGCATCCATCACCCATCCATCCACTTATCCATCCATCCACTCACCCATCCATCCACTCACCCATCCATCCACTCACCCATCCATCCACTCACCCATCCATCCACTCACCCATCCATCCATCCATGCATCCATCCATCCACTCACCCATCCATCCACTCACCCATCCATCCACTCACCCATCCATCCACTCACCCATCCATCCACTCACCCATCCATCCACTCACCCATCCATCCACTCACCCATCCATCCACTCACCCATCCATCCACTCACCCATCCATCTATCCATGCATCCATCCATTTCATCTATCCATCCAGCTATCCATCATCCATCATCCATGTGTCCACTCACCTACCCATCGATTTCAGCTATCCATCTACTCATGCATCTATCCATCCACCTATCCATCCATGCATCCACTCATCCACACATCCTTCCACTCATCCATCCATTGATTCATTCATTGGTCTCCCCATCCATCCAACCGCTCATTCATGCACCATGTCAGATATTTATTAAATACTAAATATTTACTAAATACAGATGTTTATTAAATATTTATTAAATAGCTCTGCCCTGTGACACTGGCTCTTTTCACCTGAGCATTCTCTATTTTCTTCCTATGTTTTTGTTTTCTTCCATCTTGAATACGCAGCTTTGTTAGCCACAATAGGGCTCAGCACAATTTTTCCAAGAAAGGACAGATCAAAAAAGAGCTTGTGGTCTGTGGGGCAGAGGCTGGAAAGTTGTTTGTCCTCCTGTGCTCTCGGGGGCGGGGGGAGCAAATGAGACATGAACTGTTGGTTATGTCAGGGTTTGGCCTGTGTTAGGGCTCTGGCTACCTGGCCCTGGTCCAGGCAGGGGTCCAGCTCCTCTTGTGACAGGCACTGTGGACACGGCTACAAGTCATAGAACCAGGCGCCCTCTGCTGGCTGACATGGTGCTGTTCTCATTGAGTGTTAAAATGGTGGCAGGAGAGATCCTGTTTTTCAGTCTTCTGACCTGGGTGGGGTCATAGAGGTGATGCTGGAGGGTAGGGGAGGGCAAGCTCTCGCTCAGGCCCTGCAGACATCCAGCCTGGGAGTGTCTGCAGACGTGAGAGGTAGCTAGCTCTCTGCTTGTGTCTTCCTGTTGGGGATCAGAAGCCAAGTGAGCGGCAGCGGGATGGTGGGAAGGACAGGTAGCTTTGGTCTGGGACTCCTTGAACTGGGCGTTCCCACTCGGGCTTACCTCAGTGCTGGTATTCTTCTTCCTGGATGGGTTTTGCAAAATACAGGCTGAGCATCCCTAATCTGAAAATGCCAAATTCTCAGTGCTCCAGAATCGCAGCTCTGTTGAGCACCGCCATGATACCACAGTGGAAAATTCTACACTGGGCCTTGTGGGACAGGTCACACAAAACCTCAGTGTCCCTTACAATCCCCGTCAGTCTGTGTGTGGAAGCTATGCTGAGACGTAAGCCAGAGTCTGCTTCCATTCCTACGGTGTCTTATGACGTTCCCCCAAAGAGCCCAAATCTGACATCTGGTTTGTTTGTATGTGCATTTATTTTTTTTTTTTGGGGGGGGGTCAGTTGTGGGAGCTTGAACTCAGGGCCTGGGCACTGCTCTCAAAACTAGCACCCTACCGCTTGAGCCACAGCACCACTTCTGGTTTCCGAGTTACTTAGAGATAAGAGTCTCATGGCTTCGAACTGTGATCCTCAGATCTCAGCCTCCTGAATAGCTAGGTTCACAGGTGTGAGCCACCGGCACCTGCTGACAGCTAGTTTTGAAACACTTATGGATCCATGTTTTTTTTTTTTTTTTTTTTTTTTGGGTGGTGCTGGGGATGGAACCCAGGGCCTCTTTTAGGCACGTGCCTACTGCTGAGTTATACATACAGGTGCTGCGACCATGTGACGGGGCCCTCATCCGACATAGGGGTACACCTTTATCCTTGTTTCATCTATTGTAATAACCTTCAGGGGCCCCAAACTGAGACCCTTTGAGAGTGGAGAAGCCTGGGGCCTTGGTCAGGCTTCTCAGACAGTTTGGTCTGGGCTGTGGCAGGCAGCTCTGCTAGGGACTTCCCTGTGGGCTAGGAGGAGGGGAAATAGACATGGCTGCTTGTCTGCTTACTTCCTGGTAAGCAGTGGCTGCCCCTGGTGCTCAGGCATTCCAGAAGGCCGTGGTTGCCCTCTGTGCAACTCCTGGTGTTTCTTTTGGCCAAAGATTTTTGCCTGTGCCTGTGCTGTTGGCATTCCAGATGTAAATGCACACGGGGCCCCGTTGGTGGGGTCCTCCAGCACGGCTGTGGGACAGCTCATCATGGCGCCTTTGTTCTGTGTGGGTGGGATGGGGGGCCTGTCTGTGCCCCAGCCTCTCGGCACCCCCGCTGTGGCTGGGAGGGTCTCTTCACGGCGTCTTGAGCTGTGGGTCCACATCCATGTGTGGGTGTTTGGCCAGAGGGGAGGAGCCACGCTGGCCAGCCCAGGTCTGTGCTGGGGTCCCCAGCCTTAACTTCAGGAGCTGTGGCAAGCTTTTGGTCAAAAGTTACTGAGACACTAGGGCAGCTTCTTGGCTTCCCAGTGGAGGATGCGGAGCCCGTGCGGGCTGCAGGAGCTGCGGTGGCCCTGGGACCTGGTCCCACTGCAAGCTCATTGCGCTCCCTACACGGCTTCTGGTGCTGGGAGCAGGGCTCCCAGGAGCGTTTGGCCCTGCCAGGGCAGCGTGTGTGAAGGGGGAGCTGCTGGGAGCCAGCCTTGCCCCTGTGGCAGCCATGGAAGACAAGAGCAGCCTGAACCCGAAGCTCCCCTTGATTGTCCTGGAAGGGAGCCTGCTCTCATCCAGGTAGGCCCCAGGGTTGAAGTGACAGACCTGAGATAAAAACATGTGTGGTCCTAAGACAAGACGTCAGTGCTGTGAGTTTTGGAGGTGAACAACCTTGGACCCGCTGACCGGGGCTCCTCTGTGGCCGGGCGTTTGCAGCGTTCTAGGGCGTCCACCTTCCCCACCGCGGCTGCTCGTGTTGGGGACCCCCAGGGCTGTGCCGGGCCTTGCAGCCTCATCTCCTTCCCCCAGGGTGCAGAGCCTCCAGCTGCATCGGGAGCTGCACCTTGCTCACCTGAGCTCCAGCACAGACCTGAACGAGGGCCGAGCGCGCAGGCGCGCCTGGCAGCAGACGCTCAACTGCCGCGTCCAGCAGATCACCCTGCACCTGCTCGTCAGCATCTTCAGGTACCTCACACGGGCTCGGGCATGTAGGCGAGGCCGGCCGTGCCCTTGCAGCACACCTGGAGGCGCAGACTTCCTGCCACAGTCGCTGCCGCTGCGAGCCGCCGCTCTTGTGGGGTCGCGTCCTGCGCGGGTGGCGTGGAGGAGTGGAGTTGTTTGCTGCCGCCGTTCGTCCTCCGTGCAGTCCTCGAAGGTCTTGTGTCACACGCGGGCGCCGCTCACGGGTGGCAGGGCCTGCAGACCTTTCCTCTCGCCCCACGCGCTCTCCTTTCTCTTGCAGTGTCCTTTCTCTGTCCTCGCTGCTTTCTGCTGGCCCATAGCAAAGAAGGTGCCCATGCCGCCCTCGTCCGCTCGGTGGCGCTGCCCACTCACCATACTTTGTGTGGTCATTTCTACAGCAGATTTTTAATGTCATGACTTACATAAAGAACACGATTTCTAGGGAAAGGCAGGATGGTGTCTCACAGGCAGGTGTCATCACCTCTACTGCTCACAGTGATGTCATTAGTGTGGTCCTGTTTGCTTGTGTTCTTTAGAAACAAATCTTCCATGATGGGTTTGGGCTTTTATTGTTGTTGTTTAAATACTTTACAGTATTGATGAGTTCATTAAAAAGCAAGAAAATAGAGTGATAGGGGTTGGGGGCATGGCTCAGTTGGTAGAGCAGTAGCCAATGAGCAAAAGTGGAAGGTCCCAGTTTTGGACCTAAAAAAAGAAAAGAAAATATAACTATGTTCCTTTTTTTTTTTCTAGGCCTGGGGATTATGCTCAGGCCCCACACTTGCTAGGCATGTATTCTCCTGCTTGAGCTATTCCTCCAGCCCATAGAAATATGGCCGTGGACTATAAGATTTCATGTCTTGTAAAAGATTTCATGCTTGCTTGTAAAAGAAGAGAGACCCGGGGCCTGCACCGACCACGTCCCTGCAGGGTGCTAGTCCTGTTTGTAGATGGCACCTTAGGCCCGGGAGGCCGTACCCTGAGACCCCCAAGGTGTTACTGTCTAGGAGGAGCAGGGGCACAGCAGGGTGAGGGGGTTTGTTGGGGCGGCTGGCTGGGGGTCATGACCCCAAGCCTCCCCTTACACTTTACTACTCCACAACACAGAGGCTGACTATCAAGGGGAAGAAGGTGTGAGCTGGGCTTTTCTCTAGCCAGGGAGAGTCATGTCTGACCAAGCTGCTCACCAGACCCTCCTGCCTCGGGGATTCACGTTAGCTCTGGGAGGACAGGCTTCCAGAGTGTGTGTTTCCTGCCGTTGTTCTTACTGCTTCTAGAAGTGATGTTTTTTTTTTTCACGTATTTGCAGCACCCAGCACTTAGGCTGTCGTTGTCTTTGTTAGGGAAGTGAAGAATCATTTGAACTATGAGCACAGAGTCTTCAACAGTGAAGAGTTTCTGAAGACCAGAGCGGCGGGGGACCAGCCGTTCTACAGGCAGGTGAGGGTGTGCGCAGCAGGTCGCTGCTGCTCAGTCCGTCCGGCTTTTCTCTACTTAAATATTTCTCAAATACAGGTTTTCAAGATCCATTCATATTTTAGGAAGTATATTTGCTTTTTCAAGAAGCTTGTTTTCATACGGGTCCTTTTTATATTATTGTTTTTGCTGGCAGTGGGTTTTTTCTTTTTTTTGTCGGTCGTGGGTCTTGAACTCTGGGCCTGGGTGCTGTCCCTCTGCTCTTCAGCTCAAGGCGAGAGCTCTACCACTTGAGTCATAGCGCCACTTCCATGGCAGTGGGGTTTGAACTTAGGGCTTGGAGCACACTGGGCTAGTTCTCTACCACTTGAGCCACACCTCTACTCCAGCTTTTCCTGGTTATTTTGGAGATAGAATCTCATGAACTTTTTTCTGCCCAGGCTGACTTTGAGCTGTGATTGTTTGGAGCTCAGCCTCTTGAGTAGTTAGGATGACAGGCTGATGCTACTAGTGCCTGGCTCCCTATCTTGTTTTAAGTCATCTTTTAGAGCATAACATATGTATAATAAGATATGCCGTTTTCAGATTACAGTTCGTTAGCCTGGCAGAGGGGCACAGCTGCGCCATGTCCTCCACCTGGACACCCCTGTGTGATGTCTCTAGTGCGCCTCCTTGTCATCCCAGAGCAGCCTGTGACTCCTCTGTCCCTGGGGACAAGGTTGGCCCTTTGCCAGCATGATCCTGATCGGAGCTCCCCCAGCCCCTTCCCTCTCTTTGGGACGCGTCTCCACAGCTGCGTCTCCCCCTCGGTGCTGGCAGCGCTCTGGGGTTGGCTGGAGGCAGCTCTGTTACCATGTCCACTCCAGCAAGGAGCCCTGGGGGTTTTGTTTTCGTTCATCACACAAGGCGCTTGTCTTGGGCTTTGTGCTCCTGTGCGGACCCTGGTGTGGGGTGAAGGTTGCCTCTCTCCAGGCTCTGCAGGGTTCGCCTCTGATGCTCCCAGTGCCCGCTGGCTCCCCTGTGGGCTGGGGAGGCCGCCTGCTCCCAGCCTTACCTGGCTGTGCAGTTTCCTTTGCAGGCATCTCGGGGCCGGGTGGAGGTGCCCGTGTCACACGCGGGTGGCAGTGTGGAGCTCGTGATGCTGGGCCTGCGTGGAGCTTGGAGAGGGTCTGGCCCTAGGGGACATTTGAGCATGGCTGGCAGGCACCCGAATGACATTTAAAGCCCGTGGGGAGTGTGCAGAGGCCGTGCTGGGGTGCCTCTCACCTGTTGGGTCCCAACTGCCCCCTCTTGGGGAGGCCTTTCCCTGTGGGGCTTCTTCTACACCCCTCTGTCAGCTGGGACCCTGGAAGATGAGGCCGTGTGCCGCCTCAGAGCCCCGGGCAGCACGGCACAGATGCCCACGTGCACCCCACTCATCGTATGGACTGCGTGGTGAACGCCCTCCGCCCCCTCTCCTTTCTCCTTTCTCCTCTAGTCTCCTTTTTCTCCTCTCTCTCCTTTCTCCTCTGTTTCCTCTCTTTCTCTCTTCTCTTCTTCCACTCTCTCCTCTCTCTCTCCTCTGTCTCTGTCTCTCTCTCATTCCTCAGCAGTTTTCCAGAGTACATGCTCCCATTGGGAAACTGAAATAAGAAGGGAAGCATTGCTCGCAAGCGGGCATGGCTCGCACAATGCCTCGGGACCGCAGGTGACAGTGTTGACCTAAGGCTATGGCCGTTTCCGATGGGCTCAGCCCTCCTGCACCATGGCCCCCACACCCGTCACGTTACCAGTCCACTGGCCTCCAGCCACTCCCCTCCCCGTCCCTGCTTCCCCTGGACTTTGACGTTCCTGGATGCCCCACGCCCCGCCCCTCCACGCAGCCTGTGGGCTCTGCAGCCAAACGTAGACGTTAGCTGCTCGCTCTCCCTCCCTCCACTCGTGACCCAACACTGCACGGTGGATCGGTCCATGGGCCATGAGAACTCAGGACACTGTCACACAGTGCTCACACGACAGGAGACCTGGGGAGCCAAAGAAATACAAAGCAGAGGGGAGCGTGGACCGGCAGGGGCGGTGCTTCCTCTCTCCAGACCGCTCCTCTCCACGACGCTCTTGATGTCATCGCTCCTGATGGTGGTCCCCGTGTGCTTCCGCTGCCCCCGCTGGGGCAGGAGAGCTTTCAGGGAGCCCCAGAGCACACCTGTGTCCTGGGGCCTCACCTGCCAGGCAGGAGCTCCACCTCTTGAGCCGTGTACCAGCCCCTTTTGCTTGAGTTTATTGTCACACAGAGGTGTCTCCGTGTTAGGGTTCTCTGCTCTTGGGTGTGAGGATTTCCAGCTGCAGAGCAGCTGCTTATCTGAGACCCATAGGTGAATGTGGTGCTGAATAGAGGCAATCAGAGTGTGGATGTTCCTGTTCAGGGGTTTCTGCCCCTTGGGACCGGTGGTAGCTGCCGGGGGTTGGATCAGAGGCAGGAGCGGGGCTTGAGGCCATGGGGCCACCTCTTCTTGTCTGCCGCAGGTCCTGGACACCTACATGTTCCACTCCTTCCTGAAGGCCCGGCTCAGCCGCACGATGGATGCCTTTGCCCGGATGGACCGCGATACGCAGTCGGAAGAAGACAGGTGCTCTGTTCTGGGGTGTCATGTACACGACTCGGGGTCCCAGTGCTCTGGTGACAGCTTGATCCGGATGATGAATGATATACTCTGTGGGCAGCGCAGGTTACTAGGAAATTCACAGTGAGAGCCAGGCACTGATGGCTCACATCTGTGATCCTGGCCATTCAGGAGGCTGAGATATGAGGCTCATGGTTCAAAGCCAGCTTGGGCTGGAAAATCTGTGAGACTCTTCTCCAGTTAAGCACCAGAAAGGCCAGAAGTGGACTTGTGCCTCAGTAGTAGAGAGCTAGCTTTGAGTACAAGAAGCTCCGGGATAATGCCCAGGCCCCAAGTTCAAGCCTCACAACTGGCACATACACGCACATCACACACACAGTCACAGTGAGGTGGGGACAGGCAAGCCCTGTATGTCCCTGCTTGTTGGGGTGCGTGTGCCACCAGTGCCCTGTGCCGAGTCCCGCTCTGCCCACTCCGCTCTCCCTATCTTCATTCACACGCTCCCCGTCACACGGCCTGTTTTCTAAGTGCTTCTCTTGGCCTCAGGCATGTGTTCATTATAGAGGATGCCTGGGGGTTGCTCGGCTGTGAGACCCGCTGGCTGTCCTTCCCCGAGGGTCTGCGGAAGGTGGGATTTATTCAAGTTGTTGCCACGGTTTGCTCTCCCCCTCTGGTTAGGGAGGAACAGTGAACCATCCTGGCGTCTCCCAAGTGCACTTTTGCTTTCCTCTGTCCAGGGAGAACGGAATGCTGATAAGCCCCAGAAGACCCACGGTGGAGAAGATGGCCTTGCGGAAGCCCCCAGCCCTGCCCCTCGCCCACCGGCGCATGGTGGTCAGCATGCCCAACCTGCAGGACATTGCCCTGCCCGAGCTGCCACCCAGGAACTTGTCTCTTCGTGTCATGGGCAGCTCACACTGCCAGAGCAGCAGCCTGGGTAAGGATGTTTACGGTGTGCCTGGGAGCATGTGCCTGTGTGCCTGCACGTGTATGCCTGTGAGCATGTATGCCTGCAAGTGTATGTCTGTGTGCATGTGTGTGTGCCTGTGTACATGTGTGTGCCAGTGTGTGTGCACACCTGTGTGTGTGTATGCCTGCAAGTGTGTGTGCTTGCATGTATGCATGCCTGCATGTGTATGCTCACGGGCAGCTCACATCGCCCGATAAGTGGCCCGGGGGAGGAAGTCTGTATGTGTGCACACGTGCACAGGAATGTGTGTGTATGAAGTACATACTCGGGTGTGTAGCTATCTGTGAGATACAGTAAGGCCCCCGTGAGTGCCCTGCTCTCCTTACACACGTTGGGGTAAAGTGGAGTGGAGTCAGAGTCAAGAGGGCTCTCAGTGCAGGGGAGGCCACTGTGCACAGGCTCTCCAGCAGGGGGCAGTGGAGGTGCCCTGGTGCTGGGAAAGATGTCAGCTTGGAGGTCTTCCAGTGCATGAATTGCTAAGTCCACATCTGGACGTGTGCAAGCTCCTGTCTCATTTCCACATTTGTGTGGTCCTTGTGCTTGGGCCCTTCCGTGCACTTCCAGTGTGCAACTCTGCCCCATCCTCCGTGGACAGGAGAGGTTATTAGGGGCTAAGACCTATGAGATCCCTGCACGTGGGCTTCTTGTGGCTGCTGGCCCCGGCTGCCGGGTCCGTGCCTGGGGCCTTGTGATTGGCCATTGAGGCTCTGGAAGGTTGTGATCTGGTGGGGGAGGGTGTGAAGCGGAGCCTCAGGGCTCCAGTGAGCCGTGGAGGTGAGTGCCGGTGTGAGGCCCCCTGTGCAGCCCCTTGACCGTGGGGCTTGGGGAGTACCTTCTGCTTTCTGGGCCTCTTCGGGGAGCTTCCTGGCCCACAAGAGCTCCATAGCCTCGCCTTCCATATAAGACGGAAGACGTGCCACACCAGAGCACCCCCCACAGCTGCTGTTTGAGGGGTTCGGCCTCCTGCACGTGCATTGTGCCTGTGCCAGCTTTGCCCTCAGGCTGTAGAGCAGTCACTCCACGAGGCCTTGATGGTTATACAGATTAAGCTGTTGAGTGGAAGCTACCTCTTCTCACTCTAGAAGGGGAATGAGGGGCTCTTGTAACTCTCAACGTACACAGAACATTCTGGAAAAAGTGTTGACATGACTGGTGTAGATGTTCACTTTGAAGGTCCATGCCTGCCAATCGCCTTCTATTGTCCCTTGATTTTTCAGCCCTGAACGTGGCCCCTAAGTGCACGTACACCTTCAAGATTCCAGAAATCCACTTCCCGCTGGTGAGGCAGTGTGTGCAGGCCTACTACGCAGACTTCGCCGGCCTGCTGAGCAAGGCCATGGGGCTCCTGGCCCCCGACAACTCTCTGCTCCTGGCCAGGTATTTCTACCTGCGGGGCATCGTGCACCTGATGCAGGGGCAGCTGCTCAGCGCCCTCCTGGACTTCCAGAACCTGTACAAGACAGACCTGGGGATTTTCCCGGCCGACCTCGTGAAGGGGACAATGGCAGCCATGTCCACTGCCGAGCGCGCCCAGGCCGAGCGGACGCCCGAGCTGAAGAGGCTTATCACCGAGGTCCTGGACAAGCTCGGCCAGGCCCCGAAGGCCGACGACACTGTGAAGAACTTCGAGCTGCCCAAGAAGCACATGCAGCTGGACGACTTCGTGAAGAGGGTCCAGGAGTCCGGCATCGTGAAGGACACCGACATCATCTGCCGCCTGTTCACCGCGCTCACCGTCGGTAAGACTTCCACGCCACTGCTTCCTATTCAAGTATGGGTGCCCGCGTGGCCGTGGTCCTGAACTGGTGATTCTGCTGCACACTGAAAAAAATAGGAAAGAACCCAGCACCACCTAAAAAAAAAAGACGTATTCTAAAACTGTGTGTGGGGGATGGGGCGTAGCTCAAGCTGTAGAATATCTTCCTAGCATGTTCAAGACTCTGGGTTCAATTCCCAGTACTACCAAAACTGAAAATAAACCTGGAATGATGTGGACCTGGTGGGTGGCTCACACCTCTAATCCTAGATTTGCAGGATGCTGGGTGTTAGAGGGACTTGGTCCCATGCCAGCAGCAGGCAAAAGTATGAGACCCTGGCCACAAAATAGCCAGGAAAAAATAGGTGGGAGGCTTGGCTCAAGTGCCCAGAATGCCTGCCTCGCAAGCATGAGGCCCTGAGTTCAAATGCCAGGCTACCAAGAAACCCTCTGTGTTTGTGCTAGTGAGTGCAGCCGTGCTACCTGTCATTACAGTGCTGCTCCACTGTGCTCGGGGTGAGAAGTCATTTGAGATGCAGGCAGGCATGCAAGTGGGAAGCACGCGCCAATTTGCACACTGTGCTTGACTGTCTGGGATTTGGGTACCCCAGGGCTCCCAGAACCTGTCCCCCACAAATGCCGAGTTGGCTGTGCTTATACACAGTGGCGACAGGAGGAGGCCAGGCAGCGGAGGTCATGGAGCCCATGGCAGCGTGGTGGTACACGCCCCTGGGCTGGCTCTAGGTGGATGCATCACGGGCTGGGAGGATGCAGGAAGGGCTGGGAGGTGGGCAGGCCCTTTCTGCAATGCTCAGCTCAACTCAAGAGGTGACCCGACATCTGGAAAGCCTGGCTAGGATGAAGTGCTGTGCACACACGCGCAAGCAAGCACATGCGCACAATACATACACGCGTGCATGCATGTGTGTATGTGCACACACACAACACACAAAGCACTCAGTGTGACACACTCAGCACATCTACAACCGCCTCATCAACCCACTTCCTGCTGGCCTCGCTTCCTAGGTTGCTTGGGGTCCCTTGCTGTCGCCCCCACAAGGGGGCTGTCGCTCCCCTCTTGCTGTGCGTTGCTATGACTACAGTTAGTTGCGTCAGAACAGCACGTGGGTTTTGTCCATAGGTTGGGTGATGGGGTCTGCTTTATTCCACGCTGATCAGGGTTTTCCTATGCTGACACGTAGGCCTGCCCGACATTGCTGCACACTAGTCCCACAGCACTGAACGCTGGAGACCACACAGCAGTGTGGTCCGGGTGTTTGCAGGTGTTGGTGTGTGTGTAACACGTGGCTCCGTCGCCGCGGAGGGGCGGGCGTGAGCGGAGGCTGGGGCTGTGGGGTCAGGGGCCAGTTTCCATAGGTACTGCGGGTGGTCACTTCCCCATGCCATGCTCTGAAGAGTAAGATATGAGGTCTGTCCAGCCGGGTGTAGTGGGCACATTCCCATGTAGGCCACGCCGGGTGGGCAGGAGTCAGGTGCAGGCAGCACAGGGTGTGGACAGAGCCCTGGAGGCGTGGGGCTCAGAGGCCTTGGCAGGAGCCCGTGCCCCTGGAGGGCTGGCGCCATGGAGACCAGGCTCGCGTTGGCCGTGCTGCCTGCGGTCATGGGACCAGAAGGGTATGCAGGAGGACACTGGGAGGCCTGGCCGGCAAGGGGCCTTCTGTGGTTCCCACCAGCCCTGCTGTTTGGTTTGCATGGCAGATCAGCCCAGAAATGCCATCCCTTTGGGCGCCTGAGGTTGCCGAATAGAGCAACATCTAATCTGTGTATTGGCCAAATGGCTGTGTCGAAAAATGTCAGGGGTTGGGAAAGTGGCTCAGTGGTAGAGCGCTTGCCTTGCATGCATGAGGCCCCGGGTTCAATTCCTCAGCACCACATAAGCAAAAAGAAAAAAAAAAGCCAGAAGTGGTGCTGTGGCTCAAGTGGTAGAGCGCTAGCCTTGAGCTGAAGAGCTGAGGGACAGCACCCAGGCCCAGAGTTCAGGCCCCACAACCGGACCAAAAAAAAAAAAAAAAAAGAAAAATGTCAGTCTTCCTCAATGCCAGATGTCGCTGGCTTGGAATAAGCCCGTGAAGTAGAATACGTTTAAAGGCAGGTACTGTGGCTCAAGGCTGCGGTCCTTACTACTTGGGAGGCAAAAATTGGTAGGTTGCAATCTGAGGCCAGCCTGAGAAAATGAAATGATATGCCTACCTCAGCCAATGGCTTTGCAGTGGTGTGTACCATGGGCATGCACAGTAGGAGGATCACAGTCCAGGTAGGCCTGGTGAATAAAGGAAGATCCTTTCTTGAAAAGGAGTAAAAAGGGGACTGGGATTTAGCTGCTGCTTAGCAAGTGCCCAATCCCTAGGTTCAAGCCCCAGGACTGATTGGCACCAAAACCGACAACAAGCCCCTTGCTGGCAGCACGTGGGCCTCTGTGTTCGCAGGTCACCTTCCCTGCTGGCCGCAACGTAGGCAGGAGCTGGTCCCTCATCCCAGCCGGGCCAAGAGCCTGGATCGGAGGAGGCCAAAGTCCCAGCCAGGCATCCCGGCTCCTGTCCACAAACAGGGTCAGCAGCCATGTACTCTGGAGCATTTTCCATCGTGGTTACATTGGCATTGGGACAACATAGAAAGGGACAGCTCTGTGCAGGGAGTGGGTGCTGCAGCAAGTTCTAGAGCCTTCTTTGACATCTGTGTTTTCCACACAGAGCACTGTATACACTGGCACTGGTACCCGATGTTCGTGTCAGTCTCCACCAGGTGGCGATGTTTTTGCTATTTTTTTTCCCTCTATTTTTAAGGTGTTTCACAGTGGCTGGATATCATATATAGTTAACAGCTATTTCTTGGCAGTGCTGGGGAGGAGCTCAGGGCCTCATGCATGTCTGGCAAGCGCGCACACTTCGCTACATCCAGCCACATTTCTTTCAGTCACTGAAACCAAACAGGAAAGAAAAAATTCACATCAAAGGGATCTGTATAGCTGGGGTTGGTGGTTCACGCCTGTCATCCTAGCTACTCCAGACACTGAGGTCTGAGGTGCAGGCAGGAAAGTCTGTGAGACTCTTTATCTCCCATAAATTACTTAGAAAAAGCCAGAAGTGTTGCTGAGCTTTGTTGCACAAGGCTAGAATCTCATGGACTTTCCTTTCTGGGCTGGCTTCAAATCATGATCCTCGGATGTCAGCTTCCTGAATAGCCACTAGCACCTAGCTAGCAATTGGCTTCCTTCCTTTCTTTTTTTTTTAGGTCCAATTGTGGGGCTTGAACTCTGGGCCTGGGCGCTGTCCCTCGGCTCTTCAGCTCAAGGCTAGTGCTCTACCACTTGAGCCACAGCGCCACTTTGGCTTTTTTCTTTTTGTTTATGTGGTGCTGAGGAATGGAACCCAGGGCCTCATGCATGCAAGGCAAGCGCTCTACCACTGAGCCACCTTCCCAGCCCTAGCAATTGGCTTTCTTCATGCCCCAGTGTCCCAGCTCTACCCCAGCCTGCCTGTCACGAGGGCCCTGGATTGGACAATGTGGAGTGTGCTTCTTGGTGGGCAGTGGTGACAGTGAGCAGTGATTCTGTCCAGAACTTGCTGGTCCCAGCCACGGCGACCCACTTGGTTGGAGACGGCTACATACATACGCGGTGTTGAGGATAAGAGTGTGTTTTCTGGATGGGTAGTCAGGTGCAGAGGTGTCTGGGGTGTACCTGGTTTGTCTGAGATGGAGGGTGGAAGGTGGAGGCTTGGCCTGGAGGCCGCATTGGGGCTGGAGTAGACAGCAGTCCCCTGTTTAGCAAGGAATCAGGACTCCATTGTACATTAGAGAAGTCCTGGGCACTGGCTAGGCACCCCGCAGAGGGTGGCAGAGGTAGCAGGAGCCCCAACCTGTGTCTGCATCTCCCAGTACTGCAGGCTCGAGGCCAGAGGGGCCGGCAGACTCAGGAGGCATGGAAGTCAGGAGCGGGCCAGGGTGGGTGCAGGGACCAGCCGGTGTTAGGGGTGGAGTGTGCAGGGCTGAGGAGAAGCTGGGCATCTGCGTGGGGCTCCCACTCACCCAAGGGCACGGTGACTACTTGGTGTTTACAGACTGCATCTGCTAAGGTGATCTGGACTAAAAACAAATACATCATTCACTTACAGAGAGCAGAGTAGGCTGGTTTCAGGCAAGGTGTGATCCTCATTTCTTCAGTGTTACTTCCTCTCTGGTCCAGTGGTGAAGAAGGTCACATCACCACAAGAAGTGCCCTGATCTCAGTGTGTCCTTGCAGCTCCAGGGTTACCATGACAACCTGTCCTGGACCACAGAACCCTCCCCTCTGCTGTCTGGAAAGGCCAAGGTCGAACGATCTGAGCACCAGTGCCACCTGCTGCCTGACTCTGGGCATTGTGCTATTTCGTAAGGTGATGCATGTGGCCTAAGTCATCTTTTTTTTCTTATAAAACACAGGCCAGCAGAAGCAAATTGACCCAGAAACATTCAAGGATTTCTATAATTGCTGGAAAGAGACAGAAGCAGAGGCCCAGGAGGTGAGCCTGCCTTCACTGGTGATGGACCACCTGGACAAGAACGAGTGCGTTTACAAGCTGTCCAGCTCCGTGAAGACCAACTGCGGCGTGGGCAAGATTGCCATGACCCAGAAGCGCCTCTTCCTGCTGACAGAGGGGAGGCCGGGCTATGTGGAGATTTCCACCTTCAGGAACATAGAGGTAAGCTCACCTAGGGTGGTTCAGGGTACAAAGGTTGGCCTCCTGTACCCGGCCTCTGCTGGCCGAGGCTGCTTCCTGTCCAGGGTGGGGAGAGCAGGGAGGAGGCCCGGTGTGCGCAGGCGTAGAGCCCCTCCCTGGCTGAGAGGGGAGAAGCAAGGCCGGCCGCCGCCCTCCAGCCAGGCAGGAGCCGGGCGCTTCACCATGGTGGGTCTTGTGCCCACACAGGAGGTGAAGAGCACCATGGTGGCCTTCCTCCTCCTGAGAATCCCCACCTTGAAAATTAAAATGGTGTCCAAGAAAGAAGTGTTTGAGGCCAACCTGAAGTCCGAGTGTGACCTGTGGCATCTGATGGTGAAGGAGATGTGGGCCGGGAGGAAGCTGGCCGACGACTACAAGGTGGGCAGCCTCGGGCACAGGGTGGGTGGTGAGGGCTGGCGCCAGCCCTGCCGGGAGGCCTGGAGAGTGGGTGGCAGACCGGCTGGGCTGCACTGCGCCCATCCACCCGGCGGGCAGGCGAGCAAATGGCCTCAGCCTCCCACATCTGTGATCAGGAAATGCATGGAGTTGGCACCGGCCTTGCCCTGGGGACGTGTGTCACTCATTTCCTCCAGTCACCCGATGACACACTTGCAGAGATGAAGGGGGCTGGGCACCAAGGAAGGGGTGTGGGGGCGTTGTATCGGCGAGTGGCGAGCTGAGCGTGGGCAGCGCAGCGGGCAGGTGCCGTTGGGACGGCTGGTCCTGGCCCCCGAGGCTGGGTGCGCCAGGTTTGGTAGCGTGTTGCTGTGGGCTGGGCCTGAGCCTGTGGCAGGCACCATACAACGGTGCAGGCCCCGTGCACTGGTTTCTGTGCAGCCAGAGCGCCTGCAGCCTCCGCCGCCCTGTTGACTCTGGATGTGCAGCAGTGGCCGCAGGCATGATGTGGCCACACAGCCAGAGCGCTTCTGCCTGGCTCTCAGAGAGTGTGCTGGGCCTGGCATGAGCCATCACCACCGCTGCCGGCCCGCCGTGCCGCCTGGCAAGGGCGCAGCCAGGCGCGCCTGTGACGGCACTGACTCGCGGTTTCCACCTAGGACCCTCAGTTTGTCCAGCAAGCGCTCACCAACGTCCTGCTCATGGACGCCGTGGTGGGCGCGCTGCAGTCCCCCGGGGCCATCTACGCCGCCTCCAAGCTGTCCTACTTCGACAAGATGCGGACTGAAAGTGAGAGCCGCCGGGTCTTGCTGGGGGCCTCGATTTCACTGGCAATACCCCATCCCCCAGTTCTTGTTTGCATACCTTTCATTCTGTTTGAGACAGAGGCTTGTTTGTAGCCCAGGCCAGCCTCAAATTCTCTGTCCTCCTGCCTCAAGCCTCCCGAGGGCGGGCTGCCGGGCCCGCGGGCGCACACCTGGCTGCAGTTTGCGTGTTCGTGGCGCCCAGCGCCGCTTCCCTCTGCTGCTCTTTCTGCGGAGCGCGGCGAGGCCGCGTCTCCCATCGCGTCGTCGGGTCGCCCCGGTCCTCTTCTCACTAATGACAGACATTCCTCTGGCTGATGTAAGCCGACTAGAAACTTCTGGAAGGCTGTTGGGTGGTGCATGCAAGCGGTTGGCCGCTGGGCGCTGTGGTCAGGCAGCTTCGGCCTGTGCGCGGCTGGGCGCCACAGGTGGATTCGGGGCCTTGGGGCCCGGGGCCCGCGTGTTTCTTTGCTTTGCCTGCCATTTTCCTTGTGTCCCCTTCCTAACCTCACCGCAAGTGGACTCAGGGTGGAGTGGACGCAGCTGTTTGTTGGGAACTAGTTGTAACCAGAGGCGGGGTGAAGAGGGCGGCACTCCACTTCTGGGGGAGGCTTCAGCTGTGCTGGGGGGCCCGGGGCTGGGTCAGAGAGGCTGCTGGGGTGCGCGGGCGCCTGGCTCCATTACCCAGCCTGGTGTCCACCCTGTTCACGTCACGGGCCTCAGGGCCCAGCCGCCGCGGGCGGGGCAGGGCGGGGCTGGAGACCGAAGCCTTCGCTGGCTTCCTGCCAGTGACGCCATGTTGCGTGGGCGCCTGCCCCTCAGTCCTCCCAGTCCTCCCCCGGGGGCCAGCGCGGTCCTCGTCCTCCACTGACCAGTGGTCTTGCGCTCCAGTGCCCCTGGCGGTCCCCAAGACCACCTCGGAGACCCTAAAACACAAGATCAACCCGTCGGCCGGGGAGCCGGGCCCGCAGGCTGTGGAGGTCCTGCTCTACACGCCAGGTGAGCCCTCCTGTCCCGCTCCGGCCCGGGGACGGCCGTGTGGGTGGAAGCAGGTTTGAGGCCCTTGGTGACTCGCAGGGCGCCGGCCTGCGGCCGTGTCCTCACCCGGAGCGTGGCCTCCTGCTCACAGCTCTGGGCGCTGAGCCCGCCCGGGGTGGGTCCGAGGGGTTACGGCAGATGCTAGGCCCCGTCCCTTCAGCTGTCTGACCGGCGCCGCTGGCTCCCAGGGCATCTGGACCCAGCGGAGAAGGTGGAGGACGCTCACCCCAAGCTGTGGTGCGCCCTGAGCGGAGGCAAAGTGATCGTGTTCGACGCGTCCTCCTGGACCGTGCACCAGCACTGCTTCAGAGTGGGCTCCTCCAGGGTGGTAAGTGACCCCCACCCCCCGGACACCCGAAGACCGCCTCAAACCTCTGACAGGTGTCCTTTCTGTGGCGACCTGGGTACCCCATTTTTTCATGTTCTTGTGCTTTTGGTGGATGATCTTACCTTTCACCGTGGGCCAGGTGTGGTTGTGCACGTGTATAATCCCAGCTGCCAGGAAGGCAGCGATTGGGAGGATTGAGGTTCAAGGCCAGCCCAAGCAAAATGTAATTAGCAAGACCCTGTCTCAGCCTGTTAACCCTGCCCTGGGCCTGAGCTGGGGAGGGGGGAAAAGGAGGGGGACGGAGAGGAGGGCACGTTGAGGGGGGCAGGGAGCCGCACCCACCTCGCGTCCCCGCAGGCGCTGGCGGGAGTTTGGCGGGCTGACTCGGGCTTCTCCCTAGAACTGCATGGTGATGGCGGACCAGAGCCAGGTGTGGGTGGGCTCGGAGGACGCGGCCATCTACATCATCAGCGTCCACAGCGTGTCCTGCAACAAGCAGCTCACCGAGCACCGTGCCGCCGTCACCGGGCTTGCCGCGCCCGCCGGCGGGAGGCCCAGGTCGGCCGCAGGAAGCGGGGGGCGGGGGCGGGAGGCCCAGGTGCGCGGTGCTCCTGCTGGACCCGCGGGGGACCTCAGCCCTGGGCGGAAGCGCGGAGCCCTGGGGAGCTGCCCCCCACCTGGGCTCGGCCCCTGGTGTAGGCGACCCCACGGCGCGCCCCCCCACCCCCGGCCATTAACCGTGTGCGTGTTTGACCCTCAGCGAGCTGTACTCCTGCAGTGTGGACGGGACGGTGCTGGCCTGGGACGTGAGCAGCCTGCGGGTCACCGGCCGCTTCCAGCTGCCCTGCGGGGGCCTCACGGCCATCAGCCTGCACAGCAGCCACCTCTGGTGCTGTGAGTGCCTGCGCCGCCACCGCCTCCCCTCCCCGGGCCTCCCCTCCCCGGGCCTCCCCTCCCTGGGCCTCCCCTAGACTCCTGCCCTCCTATGGAGTGCAGACTACCCCGGTCCGCCCTTGGGGAGCTACCCCCCTCCCCGCCCCTGAACTCAGAGCTTGAGCCACAGCCAACTGTGGGGCGTTTTGTGTGTGTGCTTGTCCTGGGGCTTGAACTCGGGGCCTGGGTGCTGTCCCTCAGCTCTCTTGCTCAAGGCTGGTGCTCTACCACTTGAACCACAGCTCCTCGTTCATCTTTTTGGTGGTTCATTGGAGATAAGAGTCTCATGGACTTCCCTGCCCCGGCTGGCTTTGAACCTTAATCCTCAGGTGTCAGCCTCCTGAGTAGCTAGGATGACAGGCGTGAGCCACCAGTGCCCGGCTCCAACAGTGATTTTAGGTTTCCCATGTGGTTCTCCCAAGTGTGGGCCGGCTTGGGACACGGCGAGGCCACTCACAGCTGTGCTCTTCAACGCCCATCTGGCCAGCACCTACCTGGCCAGCACCCAGTCTGAACGCCGTCGCCTGTGTGCGGGGCCCGCGCTGCGTGAGTGCGCTGGGCAGGTGACGATGCCAAGCAGTTGAGGCTCAGGCTGTGGCTGCCCCTCCCGGCAGCCAGCCCTTCCCGACCCAGGGCTTTGCCCCTTGTGCAGGCACCCCCCCCCCCCCCCCACACACACACAGTGCTGGCCTAGAGGGGTTCCTTGTGCTTAGTAGTGGGAGGGAGGAAAACTCAGGCTGGCGTCTGAGTGGTTAGGCTGGCTGAGGACCAAGGGGTTCATTTCTCACCTGAGGCTGGTTGGTCCCGCAGGACAGGGGACACGTGCTGAGTCCCATGGGACGGGGGAGCACGTGCCGAGTCACACGGGGCAGGGGACACGTGTGGGGTGTGCCAGTCACGGGTCACGTGACAGTGTGGGGCTGGTGGTCACGGGAGGACGGGGGGCCGGGTCAGGTGAGGACGCCCATGCTGGGCTGGCCGCGGCCTCTGCAGGCGCGGGGAGCAGCATCGTGGAGGTGACGGCCCGCGGCGTCCTGCGGCAGCAGCTGAGGATCAACGGCGGCCATCCGGAAGTGCAGGCCTCCTTCCTGGGCCTCCAGATCCTGCCTGAGGTACTGAGGGCCTGCGGGGCGGGTGGGAGGCGCCGTGGCCGCGGTGCCACGGTGGCGTCTGTCTGTCCAGCAGGAGCAGCTGTGGGCGGCCTGCGCGGGACACAGCGAGCTCTACATCTGGAGCCTGGGGGACCTGGCCCGGCCCCCCGAGAGCGTCCGCCTTCCAGACTGCTCCGAGATCAGCTGCATGATCCGGGTGAAGAGGCAGGTGAGGCCCGTGCCCCCCACCTCGCCCTCCGGGCTCCTCCCCGGGGTGGGCACGTGTGGGCTGTCACAGCCTCGGGCTCCCGTGTGACTGCGTTGCGGAGGCAGACGCTGTGTGGAGGCCACCGGCGCCACAGCCTCACGGCCCTGTAGGAGGTGGAGTTCGCAGCCCGGCGGGGCGGGGGGAGGCGGCCCCTGCTTTTCTCTGAGTCCCAGCACTGCCGGTGACCCCGGTGACCTTGGCTTCCCCCTGGCGCCCTATCGGGACCGTCCAGCCGCAGAGGAGACACTGGGAGGAGGAGGTTCGCGCCCCTCCAGAGCCCCGCTGCACTGCCTGTAGTTAGCGAGAACGGGCGTGCGTCCTGCGGCCACCGGATGCTCTCACGCGCGGTCCACACCTGACCGCCACAGCCAGCTCCTCGCCCGTCCCGCACACTTGTGCGTGCGTGCGTGCGTGCGTGCGTGCGTGTCCTAGTGTAAGAACAGCTTCCCTCCTCTCAGCAACCCCCCGGCACCGTCCAGCACTGACGGGGTCGTGTTGGCCTCTGGGCTTCAGCCTCGTCCTCCAGGCCCAGCCTCTTGAAAGCAGAGACCTGGCCAGGAAGGACATGTGTTTTGGGGTGCCCGCAGGGCATCGGCTTTGAGGCGCCCCTTCCCCTCTGACTGACGCCCGTCCTCCCTGCAGATCTGGGTGGGCGGCGCGGGCCCCTCGCAGGGACGGCCCCGGGGGAAGATCTACGTGATCGACGCGGACCAGAGGACGGTGGCCAAGGAGCTGCTGGCGCACGTGGACTGCGTTCGGACGCTGTGCTCCGCCGAGGGCCGCTACGTGCTCAGCGGGTCCGGGCCGGAGGAGGGCAAGATCGCCATCTGGAAGGTGGAGTGAGCGCCCGCCCGCCCGCGCCCCGCCGGCCTCCGCTCACACATGCGGCCTCAGCTGCAGTTACCCAGTGGGTTTTCCAGAATGTACCAGAATCCACAAGCAGGGCCTGCACTGGAGCCACGATCTTGGCTGCATCGCATGACTCCTCAGCATTTGTTTTTCACACACCTGGACCTGACGGGGTGGTGGTGGCTGCTCACGTCCTGGTGAGCCCTAACCGGGGGCACCGAAGCGCCGGGCTTTTCTATTGAAGGGCGCAGGGTGCGGTGCCCAGTGCGGCCGCCTCCCTGCCGGGTGCGGCACATGCTGCGCAGGACGCGTGCGCAGTGAGCGGCGCTTTGCTGTTAGCCCGACTGCCACGTGTCCCAGTGTTGCAGGCTGCTGCCACCGAGGCAGGAGCCGTTCACCCGCAGCACGTGGCCCGCAGACCCGGGGCAGAGCTGCAGAGGACTTGCCCGGTGCCCGCCCGTCCCCGACCGGGCACATGGTGCCCGCAAGGAGCGCTGCTGATGTGGACGGTGCTCGCCGCCGACCCCCTCTCCCAGGGGTGGCTGTGGGGGCGCTGGCTCCCCGGAACACCAGGGTCTCTGCATGGGAGCACTCACGGCTGGCAGGAAGGCGGTCGCGAAGGGCGGGGCTTAGCTGAGTGCACGGAGCCCCGCGGCGCAGGCCGCAGACGCACGTGAGCATCATTTGATGCCTGTCCACGGCACTAGGAAACCCCGAGCGGGCGGCTTAGCTTCCTCATTGTGGCCACTGCCAGTGGGCAGCGCTCTGGACGTGACCCGAGACAGGTGTGGACTGCCCGATTCTCCTTGTCAAGTTATTCCAAGACAGACTTTCGCGTTTCATCCTGGACACGATTCCCAGCAGCGGAGGCAGCACTGGAGCTGCCAGGGCACAGCAGCTCTGTGTGTGTGTGTGAGAGTGAGTGTGTGTGTGATTGTGTGTGTGAGTGTGTGTGTAGGTGTGAGTGAGATTTCTCGAGAGGAGGCATGGTGAGCAGCACTCTCACCAGGGCAGGGGTAAGGAGACCCCGCCGCTTTGGGGGGCTTCCGCCTCTGAAGGAGCCCCAGGCAGGGCAGGCGCGAGCGTGGTTGTGCCTGGCTCTAGCAGCGTGAGTTAAGTTGGTGCCCAGTGTTGCCTTGGGGGAAGGGGCCGTGCTGACAGCTCTGCAGCGTGTGTCACGCGGGGCCTCAGTGGCTGGCTGGGGGCTGTGAGAATGGCCGCCGCCGGTAACTGTCTAGGTGCTTTTTGGTTCTAGTACTAGGTCTTGAACTCAAGGCCTCATTCTTTTGTACTAGTAGCCGGCGCTCTACCGCTGAGCCGCACCTCCATTCTCACTTTTTCCCCTGGGTAATGAGATAAAGTCTCACAGGCTTCTTTGCATGGCTGGCTTTGAACCGTGATCCTCCTGGGGGTGCAGGTGGGAGCCGTCAGCGTCTGGACTTAGCTGTGGCCATGACATGTGACCCGCGCGTCTGTGGCTTTGTCTGCTGGAGGATGCGTGCAGGCCTCTCCACAGACCCAGCCGGCCCCGTCCCGCGCTGGTGCTTCCGGGACGGCCCGAGTCTGTGAGGCAGCTGTGGACTGGCCGTGGGGCTGAGGCCGGAAGCACGGAGCACCCAGCGCACCTGTGCCAGCCTGCACGCCGGGGCCGCTGTCAGGTCGCTTGGGAGGGGGGCCTCAGGGAGGCCTCCGTTTCCCACCACCTGGCACTCCACTTACGGGGTAAAAATGCAGCCCTAGCAGTGGCCGCACAGCCAGGGCTTACCAAGCTGTGGGCCTGTGGGGGTACGGCCGCGCCCCGCCTCACCCCCACCAAGATCCCAGGAGGGTGAGGGGCTCCTCCATGCGGAGGCTGGGCAGCGAGAGGACCCCAGGCCCCCAGGCAGAGGACCTCGCCGCTGCGCTGAGGCCACGCACCGAGGGCGGTGCTCGGGACAGCTGGTTCTCAGGGTGACAGCGGGGCTCTGCACCTTGGAACAGAGGCAGCAAGGGACTGTGAGGCCGAAGGACCCGGCCTGGCTGGTTATAGCTCCACGGCAGGGTGGGTCCCCTCACCCTCGGACACCAGGGCCTGCTTAGCCAGGGCGCCTGTCCTGGACTCTTTCTGGAATCTCCTAACAATATTCAGAGCAAGAAAAGCCGAGTGTGACGGTGCATGCCTGTAGTCCCAGCATTGGGGAGGCCAAGGCAGGAGGATTGAGAGTTCAAGGGCAGCCTGGACCACATAGTGAGATCCTATCAAGCAACAAAACAAACTACCAGCATGGGCTAGGATAGTGACCTTCAAGAAATTTATGTCCATTACCCGGCCAGGCATGGTGACACATACCTTTAGTCCCAGGTACTCAGAAAATACTAGATGAATTAAACATTCAAAAATTAATAAGCCGGGCGCCAGTGGCTCATGCCTAGAATCCTAGCTACTCAGGAGGCTGAGATTTGAGGATTATGGTTCAAAGCCATCCTGGACAGGAGAGTTGGTGAGACTCTTATCTCCAATAAACCACCAGAAAACCAGAAGTGGCGCTGTGGCTCAAGTGGTAGTATGCTGGCCTTGAGCTGAAGAGCTGAGAGACAGCACCCAGGCCCAGAGTTCAAGCTGGCGGGGGTCGGGGGGGGGGGGGGAGAGGCAAGATTGGGGAACTAGCTAGCAAGACTCCATCTTCACTAGAGAAGCTGGGTGAGGTGGCTCATACTTGTAATCCCAGCTGTAGGTGACTGTAGATAGGAAGATTGTGGCCCAAGGCTGATGGAGTTCAGGCAAGAATGCAAGAGTCTTGCGTGGGTAAGCAGCAAGGGGGAGGGGGGGAGGGGAGCTGGTCTCAAGTGTTAAGAGCTTCTGCCTGGCAAAAGTGAAGCCCTGAGATAAAGGGAATGAGAAGCCAGTGCACAGTATTATCATACAGAGAAGAGCTGTAACGGATGCCAAGGCATGACGTGCGCATGGGGAGCAAGTTGGCAGAATACAAAAGGACAGGCACTTGCTTCAGAGCTCCAGGGAGGGGCAGGCTGCGGGCACCTCGGGGGAGCCCGGCACGCCCCACGCTGCAGTTCAGGGTCTAGCCAGGGCAAGCTAAGGCCTCACAGCAGGGCCCCGTGGCTCACACCTATAACCCAGGAGGCTGAGACCCGAGAATCACGGCTCAAAGCCAGCCTGAGCAGGAAAGTCCACGAGACTTCCCTCCAATGAGCCACAAAAAAGCTGGCTCAAGTAATAGCGCTCCAGACTTTGAGCAGAAAAGCCAGGCAAAAGCACAAGGCCCTGCATTCAAGCTCCAGTGCTGGTACGCGTACACACGCACACAGTGGACGCTACCTTTAAAAGGTCATAGTACCTGATGTAAACTACTAGAAGCTCCAATAACCGAGATGGTATAGGGCGTGCCTCCTGCAGGTGCGCAGAGCAGCTCTTCCACCCAGGCCTGCACCACCTGCACAAAACCAAACCCCAGGACTGTTCTTAAGGCCGTTGAATGTCAACTGGTAACTAGCTGCTGCAGCGCCCCCAGGAGGTGGGACAGAGAAGCGCAGTCCTCAAGGGAGTTCATGGGTCACAGGGTCAACCCAGCACACGGGCGTCTTTGCAACCTCAGCGCCAACTTCCTTTAGAAAATGTGAAAGTGGCCGGGCGCCCAGGGCTCACGCCTATCATCCTAGCTACTGAGGGGACTGAGGACTGTGGTTTGAAGCCAACCCAGGCAGGAAAGTCCACGAGGCTCTTACCACCAGTTAACCACTCAGAAAACCAGAAGTGGTGCTATGGCTCAAGGGATAGAGTGCTTGTCTTGAGCCAAAGAGCTCAGGGATGGCGCCCAGGCCCTGAGTTCAAGGGCCATGACCGACAAAATAGTGCTAAACAGAAGGAAAAGCTGCTTAGAGTTCATTGAGAAAATCGGAGGCCGCACAGCGTGCTCAGGACATGATTGACTGCGGTCTGTGCACATTGTGTGCTAGCGTGGAAAGCCTCTGGTACAATGAATAGACGCTGGTTTTGAAAAAGACTGAAAAGGCTTTAGAGTAGGGGACAGAAGAGGCTGGAAGGCGGCTGATGGCTCAGAAGGGGCTGCTGCTGAGGGCGTTCGCTCTGGTGGAAGGCTCGGGCCGCCCCTGCAGGGAGGAGAGGGCTGGCTCGCATCCACGTCTGCATCCTCCCCTCCCCCCACTGGACACAGTCCCCCTCCCCTGTTCAGCCACAGCCATCCCAAAGCCCTCCTTGAGGTCGAGAAAGGAACAAAAATGCCATCAGACCCACGTCCCCCACGTTGGTTAAGGATTTCGTGTGCATCGCATGGCCCCCAGGCCCCGCCCCCGGCCAAATCGGCACACAAGGCCAACTCCAGCCGAGCACCAGACGGCCTGCCTGCCTGCTCGGGTTCGGTGGAGGTGAGCAGCGTGCCCCTCCCGCGCCCCCCCCCCCCCCCCCGTCAGAAACCAGTGCCCATGCCGCTGAACAGGCCAGCCAGCGGCCGGCCCTCGCCTCAGCCGCTCACAGGCCATCCGGCAGCCCCAACTGGCGCCATATTAGAATCCCATCGCGGGAGGGGCACGGGCCTGCAGGTGGCAGGGCAGGCAGGCAGTAGAGGTAAGTCACTGCTTCATGACGCCCCCCCCCCCGCCCCCGGCCGCTGTGAACCCACTCCCGGTCAGCTTGGTTTCCAGGCATGAGGCCTGCGCGCTGTTCGTCGGGGTCAGTCTGGGTCATGGCCTCCGGGCTGGCACGCAGCAGGGACAGTCTGGGTCATGGCCTCCAGGCTGGCGTGCGGCAGGTGGCAGCCAGGCCACTGCCTTTCTCAGTTCCCGGCACAAGCGTCTTCAGCCAGAGGCCGGCGGGGTGGGAGTGGGCCTGGGCTTGCTGGAGCGCAGGCTGAGAAACTGCCCGCGCCGAGCACAGGCCGCCACTCCTCGCACTCCAAACACAACCTACCCACTGCCCCCAGCGGCAGGAGCCGTGACAAGACCAGACCAGAGAGCTGCCAAGGACAAAAACAGCCATTCTTCTGCTTACACAGAAAATTCAAGTAATTTATTTAAAAAACTGCGTTTCAGCTTGAAATATACGTGTATATATATGTGTGTGTGTATATATATATATATATATGCTTTAGAATGACCATATTGCAGCATGATTCTCATGCATTGTAAAGTTCTTTATTTAAAAAACACCGCGTGGAGGCAGCCGCTGTGTTCACGGGGGCAGCGGCCGCCTCCCGCACTCTTCCCCTCGGCAGGCCGGCAGGCGTGGCCTGCTGGTCTCCGGATCCGGTCTCCGGGAAGAGTGGGCTCAAGCGTTGGGTAGGATGTAGTGCCTTGAACACGTTCCAGACAGCGGCAGCTTGTGACGGTTGCGCTTCCTGGAGCCTGAGGTTCGCTCATTGGATGAAGCCAGAAAACGCACGGCGCCAGGCCCTGGCTGGGCTGCGACCCAGACAGAAGCGGCTCTCAGGTGCACGTGCGCTCCAGCGGCCAGCCCGGGAGCCCGGGAGGAAGTCACAAGAGTTCAGATGGGGTCCAGTTCGGATGGGCCCCAGTGTGGCAGAGAGGGAGGCCCTGGCACCCTCGGGCACCCACTCGGAGGCTTGCCCACCACACATTCGAGGTAGCCTGGAGGCAGGACTCGGGAGCCAGCGCCTGCCTGGAGCTCTGGGCTCTGAGAGTCGGCGGTGACCAAACGGCTCCCCCGGGGCCGGGGGGGGGGGGGGGGGGGGGGGGAGGCAGACTCACAGGCACGCACATGCGCGTGCACACCCACACACACACCCACGCACATTCTGTCCGTGCTTGCTGCCTGCCCCTCCCTGGCTTGTCTGGAGGTCACCCTCGCACCTGGTCACTCACTGCCCACAGCGGCCACAGGGAACTCGCCAGCTTTGGTGTGGCTGCCACAGGCCGCCACACCCTCCGAGGAAGAGACGAGACGCTGTTCTTGTAATTAAACAGTTATGAAAAAGAAAACACTTCCCAAATAATCAGGGAGAAAAACTCTCCAAAAGCGGCAGCACGACTGTGCGTGCCAAGAGGCGCCAAGACCCCTGTGACCACGCCGCCGAGGCCGCCGCCGGCGCCCAGGGCACAGGCCACCAACGTCGCCGGCGCCCAGGGGACAGGCCACCAAGGACGGCAGAGGGTTTGCATTTTCAATGACAATTTCAGAAATTCAAAGGCTTATTTTTTCTAAATTGCTTACTGAGTATATTGTAAGCGTCTTACAATTTAAAAACATGCAGAATAATACACCTGCAGAATAGGAGTTGAAATTAAAAGATTTTTCAATTAAAAAAAGATTTCAAATGATTTTTTAATTGTGGAGAAAGTAATGAATGTGATACTTTGCCTAACAGCTCAAACCTACCCTACACCTATGGAGCCTGGCCTGCGCGGGGGGAAGCCGCCGCGCCCACGCCCGCGCGGAGAGCCCCGCCGCCTCACACCATGGACTCGGTCTCCACGGGCCCGGGCAGGCCGTCTTTCCGCGACAGCTTCAGGACAGTGGGCTTCTCGCCGGCCCTGCGGCCGCCCTCGCCGGCGGCCCGGGAGGACAGGCCTTTCTCCTCGTCCTTGGCGTCCTCCGACACTTTGGGATAGATCACCAGGAACGTGGCTGTGAGGAAGCCCAGGAAGGAGCCCACGGAGGCCACCATGGGGATAACACGGACCGTCCGCACGGCATCTACCACGCCCCCCAGGGCAGAGGCCACCAGGATCTGCGAGACGTAGACCTGGCAGGAGAGGATGGCGCAGTCGATGCCAAACCCGCGCTTGGAGCTGCCAGGGCTGTGCTGGACGTACTGGAAGAGAAAGAGACAGGCGTGAGGGCCAGGAGGAGCAGCTCTGGAGGGGAGGAGCAGCTCTGGAGGGGAGGAGCAGAGGCAACTGCAAGGGGGGGTAGGGGGGGTAGGGGAGGGAGGGAGGGAGGGGGGCCCCTCCAGGCGCAGGCAGGGCGACAGGCCCTGGTCTCCAGCAGGGGGCAGGCGAGCCACAGTGTCAGGTCGGTGCTCGCCGGCTTGGTGCTTTTGGTTTTGGTTTCATCTGGCAGTGAACCCAGGCAAGTGTGCGTGCCAGGCGGGCGCTAGACCCCTTGAGCCACACCTCCTGCTGCTTCTGAGTTCCTTCTTTTTAAAACAGGGTTTCACACATTTCTGCCAGGCTGCCTGGACCGTTACCTTCCTGTTCACTCTTTCCACATTGCTGGGGTGATAAGCATGTGACACCGGGCCCCAATTTTTTTATTGGTCAAAATGAGGGTCTCATGAACTCTCTCCTGCCCCCTGGCTAGCCTCAAACCATGATCCTCCTGTCTCTTCCATATGCATAGCGAGGATTACAGGTGTGAAGTACTGTACTTGCCTGGTTTGTGCTTTTTGCACAAGATACAAAAGAACACCAGTGCGGCCACCTCTGGTCTGCAGAGATACAGGCCTGGCTGGGCCCGCTACACAGGAGGCCAGTGCGAGAAGGTAGGCGAGCAAAGCGCGCGTACACGCACATGCTCTCACGCACAGTGCGCTCTCAGCACGGCAGGGGGTTTCCCATACCCTCACAGGATAAGCCTGGGAATAAACAGCAACATGCTAGCTGTGAGCTAACAGCGCACAGGGCGCTTTCTCTAAGTACATACACGCTTAGCAACAGCCGTGATATCTGCTCCCCAAAGGGAGCCTCTGTTACCTCCAGGACCGGAAATCCTACCTAAGCACGCTCTCTGGCTGTGAGGAAAGCCTGACCATTGGAAAAGTCACTGTCGGAACTCATCGACAGACTTGTAAGTGATTCATGATTCAAAATAGAGACCATGAAAAATCCCTTATTTTGCTGAGCCTAAAAATTAAGACACAACACATTCAAACTTGCGGAGTGCAGCTAATGAGGTGCAAAGAGGAAAAATCATAGTTTTATATGCAACTACTAGGCTGAAAAACCCATGAAACCTGAAAACAGCGAACCAAGCCAGGAGCGCTGAGGTAGCCCCAGAAGGGTGGATGAAGAAATATGCCAGACAGGACTAAGGGTTCCCAAACTACTCTGAACACAGTAGACAACCCTCAAGGAACGAATGCCCACAACGCAAAGATTGACACGGGCTTGGGGCGTGGCCTGGAGCACTAGCCTTGAGAACAAGATGACACATGACAAGGTCTGTTGCACTGGGCCATAAGGAAACACTAGGAGCAATTGCAGGTCGTTAGTCTGAAAGTTCCCAAAGCCCCGCCTGTCAGACGCAAGCCCGTCCCACTGCAGTGTAAGAGGGCCAGCAGGCAGAGGAGCCTGGGATCCGCGCCACTCAGCCAGAGTTCAGGAGGGTCGCAGTTCCAGGCCAGCCAAGGGGAAAAGTTAGTGAGACCTTCATCTTTTTTTTGCCTTTTTCTTTTTGCCAATCTCAGGGCTCGAACTCAGGGCCTGGGCACTGTTCCCAAGCTTCTTGCTCAAGGATAGCACCCTACCACTTGTGTCACAGCACCACTTCTGGCTTTTTCTGTGTATGTGGCACTGAGGAATTGAACCTAGGGCTTCATGCATGCAAGGCAAGCACTCTACCACTGAGACACATTCCCAGCCTGAGACTTCCTTCTTAACCAATAAGCCTGGCATGGCGGCATGTGGGAGGCACCTGGAGGAGAATCTAGGTCCAAGGCTGGTCCTGGGCAAAAAGCATGAGACTCCATCTGAAAAAAACTACAGCAGAAAAGACGAGAGGGTGCGCCAAGCACTCGCATGCCTGTCCACCCAACTCCAGATCCTGAGTTCAAATGCCGAAAATGCCAAAAGAAAAAAAATAAAGCATTATGGATCACAAAGTAAGAACTGAACCGCCTGCTGCCTCCGTGGTGACCAGGGCTGTGTCTGCCTTCAAAGGCCTCCTGCAGAGCCTAGGAGTCAGAGTGCCTGCAGGCCGAGGCTCTGGTGGCCGAGGATGGCTCGGGCGGCGTCAGCTGCTAGGTTGGTAGGAGTGGACGGTGGAGGGGCATTCTGTGCTGGGCGGATACTTAGGTGGGAGGTGCTGGGCCACAGGGCATCAGGCGCCAGCCCCAGGCCCCCACCCCCAGCTCGACCCCACAGCGGGCTGGACGCACCTCTTTGATGTCATGGTAGTGGCCCAGCAGGGCGTAGGGGCAGTAGGAGATGCTCATGGAGACGATGCCCATGGTACTGATGGTGACCATGGCCACGTAGACGTTGGGAAACATGGCCATCACAGCTGTGCCCACGGAGAAGCCCAGCGTCCCTAGCACGTAGATCACCCGGATGCTCAGGTCGTAGTTGTCCAGGTATTTCTGAAGCAGGGCTGCAGAGGAGCAACAAACAGTGAGCCACGGCTCCAGCCGGCCGGCGCCCTGGCCCGGCCTTCCCCTTCCCTAGCACTGCTGCACTTTGGCCAAGCCGGATCTGCAGGGGCAAGTGCGCCCTCTTCTGATCTACTGTGAAGCGCAGCCCACGTCCACGCCAACACGGCTGCCAGGCTCCCGAGCCCTGGGGCTCCCAAGGGAGGCCATGCCCTGGCCGTTTCTGTAGCCCAGGACCTCCTTGGCCACCGGGGACCTGCCCCCCTCTCCTTGTGGACGCCTCTGGTCTGGCCTGGGCGCATCCCCTGGGCTCTGGGAATCCTTTATCAATGCGGTGGCGGTGATTACCTCCTGGGCCTGGATGACTGTGGGCATTTCCACCGGCCATCCAGTCAGGGCCACATCCTCCCTGCTGCCCAGGGTGGAAGTCTGCCAGCCTCCTTCAGGATAAATGGGGCCAGCCCCTCCTGCGTGCCGAGACCCCTGGCTGAGGCCCCTTTGCCCAGCCGAGCAGCAGCTGCAGACCGTGGGCCCGCCACTGCCCATGCTGGACAGGGCACAGGGGACCACAGGGGCTCTCGAGACACCTGCTCCCTTGTCAGCCCGGGGAGTCAGGCCACTACCGATGCCCATGAACTGTGGGGTGCACGTTCCCACCTGCTGATGGCTTGGGCTGGGGTGCGGGCTCACGTGACCGGCACTTCTTACCTGAGCAAATAGCACCGGTAGCAGCATAAATGACCAGGCCCCAGCAGCCCATCTTCACCCCGGCATTGTAGGCGTGCCAGGCGGTGGAGTTGGAAGAGGCCTGTTCCAGAGAGGGGTGGGTGTCAGCAGCACCGTCTGCACCTGGGGCACAGGTTACTCCGTGCTGAGAGCCCAGTGAGCCATTCGGAGAGGCGGCCAGCGTTCTAGTGCAAGAGTCAGCCCTACTTCCCGTCCTGTCAGTGTGCGGGCGCTCCCCCCCCTCCGCCCCTCCCCGCCCACACATGGCCTCCGCCTGCCCCAGGAGTCCTGGTCTCTTCTGACCCACGGACTCCTGCAGGTGGCGCATGGCACTGGGAGTTGCTACAGGATTCCAGGAGGACGGGAAGAACCGGCTGCACCGCCCAGCACCACTAACAACCCGCCCTTACCTCCATGGCTGGAGCGCTGTCCAGCCCGCTGCTCAGGGCCTGTGGTGAAAGCCCGGCTTCCACACCTGACCCCTTGGCTGCGGAGTGGGGTGCCCTGGGGTGCATGGAGGCCGTGGAGTGGGTGCCCTGGGGTGTGTGGAGGCTATGGAATGGGTGCCCTGGGGTGCATGGAGGCTGTGCAGCGGGTGTCCTGGAGTGTGTGGAAGCTGCGGAGCGGGTGCCCTGGGGTGTGTGGAGGCTGTGGAGTGGGTGCCCTGGGGTGTGTGGAGGCTGCGGAGCGGGTGCCCTGGGGTGCATGGAGGCTGTGGAGCGGGTGCCCTGGGGTGTACGGAGGCTGTGGAGCGGGTGTCCTGGGGTGCATGGAGGCCGTGGAGTGGGTGCCCTGGGGTGCACGGAGGCTGTGGAGCGGGTGCCCTGGGGTGTGTGGAGGCTGTGGAGCGGGGTGCCCTGGGGTGTGTGGAGGCTGTGGAGCGGGTGCCCTGGGGTGCATGGAGGCTGTGCAGCGGGTGTCCTGGGGTGTGTGGAGGCCGTGGAGTGGGTGCCCTGGGGTGTGTGGAGGCTGTGGAGCGGGTGCCCTGGGGTGTACGGAGGCTGTGCAGCGGGTGCCCTGGGGTGCGTGGAGGCTGTGGAGCGGGTGCCCTGGGGTGTACGGAGGCTGTGGAGCGGGTGCCCTGGGGTGTACGGAGGCTGTGGAGCGGGTGCCCTGGGGTGCGTGGAGGCTGTGCAGCGGGTGCCCTGGGGTGTGTGGAGGCTGTGCAGCAGGTGCCCTGGGGTGTATGGAGGCTGCGGAGCGGGGTGCCCTGGGGTGTACGGAGGCTGTGGAGCGGGGTGCCCTGGGGTGTACGGAGGCTGTGGAGCGGGGTGCCCTGGGGTGTACGGAGGCTGTGGAGCGGGTGCCCTGGGGTGCATGGAGGCTGTGGAGCGGGTGCCCTGGGGTGTACGGAGGCTGTGGAGCGGGTGCCCTGGGGTGCATGGAGGCTGTGGAGCGGGTGTCCTGGAGTGTGTGGAGGCTGTGGAGCGGGTGTCCTGGAGTGTGTGGAGGCTGTGGAGCAGGTGCCCTGGGGTGCATGGAGGCTGTGGAGCGGGTGCCCTGGGGTGTACGGAGGCTGTGGAGCGGGTGCCCTGGGGTGCATGGAGGCTGTGGAGCGGGTGTCCTGGAGTGTGTGGAGGCTGTGGAGCGGGTGTCCTGGAGTGTGTGGAGGCTGTGGAGCGGGTGCCCTGGGGTGCATGGAGGCTGTGGAGCGGGTGCCCTGGGGTGTACGGAGGCTGTGCAGCGGGTGCCCTGGGGTGTACGGAGGCTGTGCAGCGGGTGCCCTGGGGTGTACGGAGGCTGTGGAGCGGGTGCCCTGGGGTGTGTGGAGGCTGTGGAGCGGGTGCCCTGGGGTGCATGGAGGCTGTGCAGCGGGTGCCCTGGGGTGTACGGAGGCTGCGGAGCGGGTGCCCTGGGGTGGGGGGCTCTGGAGAGGCTCCAGCTGCCAAGGCCCGGGTGCTCCCAGCCTCCTGTGCCACGGGGCCCCGCCACCGCCGCCCTGGCCCTGCGCACTCACCTTGGGGTCCCCCTCGAAGATGACCTGGCCCATGAAGTCGGTGTAGAAGACGGCCTCGGCGATGACGGAGAACCAGGTGAGCAGGTGGCAGAGGCAGAGGCGCGTCAGCTCGCGGGGCATCTTGAGCATGGACAGCCACAGCAGGCGCACGGTGGTCTCGCCCTCGCCCTCCTCGCTCTCCGTGTCCCCGCTGGAGGTGGTGGCGCCGCTCTGGTGGCGGCGCCGGCAGCGCTGGCGCTGGCGCTGCTGCAGGTCGTACAGGTCGCTCATGCTGCGGGACGGCTTGATGAGCACCACTGCGTTGGCCCGCCGGTAGCGGTAGCAGTGGGAGCCGATCTTGCCGTAGTAGGAGAAGGTGCTGGAAGCTTGCCGGCGGAATGTGTGCCTGCGCCGCCTCACGGAGCCACAGGTGGCCGAGGGCTTGGCGGCCACCCGGCTGTGGCTGCTGAGGGCCGGCCTCTGAGGGACGCCGCTCCCGTTGGGGACTTTAGCTTCATTCAAGTGACTGTCCAGCAGCGTGTCCTCCTCCCTGGACTCCCTGAGGAACGGGGACAGGCGGGGCAGCTTGGCCCTCAGGAGCTCCTGGCTGGTGCTGCGGGGGGTGCTGGGGTAGGAGGCGTCATGGAAGATGGAGGGCTCGATGTCGTGCAGGAAGGGCAGCTCGGGCTCCATGTCCAGCGTGGGGTCCGGCATGTGCAGCACCGAGTCGCTCTTGCTGCGCACGATGTCCACGTCCAGGCAGTCCAGGGAGAGCTCATGCTCGGACTGCACCTCGTCTGGGAACGGGGGGCTGCCGTCCTGCAGGCCCCCGCCCAGGGAGTTGAGGCGAGCGGCAGGGGTCAGAGCGCCGCCCAGCCGGGCTCCGGGCAGGGCGGGGGCCTCGGCGGCGCCGCGGTCCTGCTGCGGGCTGTACTGCTCCTCCTCGATGCTGAAGAGGTGCAGGGCCACGGACACTGTGAAGATGATGGCGGCGAAGAAGAAGAGCACCTGGTTCTGTGTTCGGAACCAGCTGCCCAGGAAGGTCTGTGTCCAGTCCAGTCCACCCAGCACGTAGCCGATGGCCCCGCCAAGGCCTGGAGGGAGAAGCAGCGGGTGAGCCGAGCGGGCCTTGTGGCTGGGGCAGCCATTCCCCCTCGGGCCCCATGTGGAGGACGCCCCACCCGACTCACTGGTCAGGACCCAGGCTTCGCTGTGCACCCAGAGCAAGAACCCCAGGGCTGAGTCCTGCCCCCCCGCCCCCCTCCCCATCCCCACTTGTTTTTTTTTTTTTGTGTCCGGTCATGGGGCCTGAACTCTGGGCCTGGGCGCTGTCCCTCAGCTCTTCAGCTCAAGGCTATCGCTGTACCACTTGAGCCACAGCGCCACTTCCGGCTTTTTTCATTTTTGCTTATGTGGTGCTGAGGAATCGAACCAGGGCCTCAGGCTTGCAAGGCAAGCGCTCTACCACTGAGCCACCTTCCCAGCTCAATCCCCACTTGTTAAGAGCAAGCGAGTCCCAGGGCCGATGCAGCTTGCCTGTGTGCCAATCCCGCCGTGTGCCAACACTGACCGGCTGAGACAGGGGTCAGCGCAGCGCCAGGCCTCAGCCCCCTGGAGAGCAAGTCTGATGCTCCCTGTCCCGGACCCTTGGTCCCTTTGTCCTACTCGGTCTTGGTGGTTGGCGAGGGCTGGAAACCCAGAATCTGGAGGGGCTGTGCGGACTAAGCGTGCCCCATACACACCCGCAGAGAAGGCGTGGATGTTGAGGGCCATGTCCTGCTCCTCGCTGTCCACCACGTCCAGCAGGTAGGCGCGGATGGGCCCCTCGGTGGCATCGGCGCTGAAGTCCAGCACCACCACTCCCAGCACGGTGAGAACGATGCCGATGGGCTGTTGGGTGGGGACATCGCCCAGGGCCAGACCTGAACAGAGTGAGGGGAAGAAGTCAGCCTGGCCGCGCAGCACGGCGGAGAGAGGGCAGGAGCTGCAGGCTTCACACACACCTAGGAGAGAGAGTCCCATCAAATCCTCGCTGCCTGCCCAGTGGCCCCTCGCCCATCTGCTTTGAAGCGGGAAGGGGAGCTCCTTTGCAAACCCCTGCCAGCTGAGGGCCTGCGGGTCCCAGGGAAAGGGGCAGTCCAGCCCAGCGGGTGCCCCCGGGTAACTGCTGTGCGCACGCAGTCCTAAACCTCAGGATCAAGTATCCACGGCAGTGCCTGAGCAGCCTGGGCTGGGGCTCACCTTACTGCCAGCAAAGGGCCTGCAGCACTCACGCACAAGACGCGATGTGGTGTGCGTGGGGCAGACCCAGGACAAGGCCCAAAGGCCCCCAACAATCAGACTGCACCTGACCCACGTGAGGCCCCCTGGCCTCCAGCCAGAAGCTGGGGCTCCCAGGGTGGAGGGGTGAGGAGCTTGCTCCTTCACACTGAAGGGTTTTCTGGGTGCTCTCTGGAACACCCTGCTGTCCTGCTTGGGCGGCTGAGGGGGCAGAGTGCCAGGCTTTGTTTTTCCCCAGCTCCGATGGGCGCCTCAAGGCAAAAATACTTTCCCACCCAGTCACTTCAATCCAAAACAAAACAACAGAGAAGCAAAACAACACAGGAGCACAGGAACCAGAAAAACAGCCCACGAACTCAGCTCCGGACGCGCTCAATACCACGCCTAAGAAAAGGAGAAAAAAAAACAAAAAAAAAGGTAATTGCTGGAATGAAGCTGGAAACAGGACGCGGTGTCAGATACGCGCTGGAAACAGCAGCACAACAGGAAGCGTTTCCCTGTGAACAGGTTCCTCTGCCTTTCCCACGTGGGGCGGGCGGGCGGGCGGGCGGGGAGACGCCTACCTATGGCGGAGCCGTTGAGGAAGAGCGCCACGCCGAAGAGCACGCCCACGCAGAGGGCGAGGATGAAGGGCCGCCGCCGGCCCCAGCTCAGGGTGCAGCGGTCACTGGCAGAGCCGATGAGCGGGGTGAAGATGAGGCCGAGGATGGGGCTCAGGAACCAGGTGAGGCTGTAGTACTGCTCCGGGAGACCTGCGGGGACAGCGGGCGCTAGGACGCACGGCCTTGCTGCTGGAAGCCACGCAACGCGGGGAGCCGTGCCACAGCCGCCCCGCGAGCGGGAGGCCCGGCCCGCAGCGCTGCACGCGGGGGAGAGGCACCCGACGCGTGTCCAGCTCAAGGCTGTGGCCCCAGTGCGGACTCTCACACTGAGCCTTCCTCACTGCCCGGAGAGGCAGGGCACCTGAAACTCCAGGTGCCACGCAACCTACCCCACGCCACAGGGGTAGCTGGTGGTGGCCCCAGAATTTAAACCAGGGCAGGCAGAGGTCAAAGTCTTCATTCCCTCACTCTATGACACAAGCCCAATGCATCATGGGTAGGCTGGACAAAAGGTAAGAGCCGCAGAAGCTGCGTGGACAGCTGGCGCGAGAACCACCCCACTGTGCAGAGCAGCCGGGACGAGCGTGGGTGGCAGGGCGTTCCGACAGCGAAGGCTCGGGAAGGACCCGCTGCCACCGCTGGGTGCCGGTCAGGCTGGCTGCTCGGGATGCGGGCTGCGCTTCTGCGTGCTCACACATGGTTTACTGAACGTAAAGGTTCAGAGGCTGAGATCTGAGGATCACGGTTCAAAGGCAGCCTGGACAAGAAAATCCAAGAGACTCTTTATCTCCAATTAACCACTAAAAGCCACAAGTGGTGCTGTGGCTCAAGTGGTAGAGCCTTAGCCTTGAGCAAAAGAACTCAGGGACAACACCCAGGGCCTGAGTTCAAGCCCCAGGACCAGCATAAGGAACAACAAAAAGGCTCAGTGAATTCTGTACCTGTGGGTAGGGCAGGTGGGGAGGGAGATGGGGGAATGTGAAGGAAGGAGTGACATGGCCCGAAAAGCATCGTATTCATAACCTGACTTCCGGGATTGTAGCCGGTTTATATAACTCCTTAATAACACTTTTTTAAACCATGAAAAAAATTAAGGCCCAGGCCCCAGCACCTCATCAGGCTAGCATTTTACACCACTAAAGGCACTGAAAACACAGTGCTATGTGGAACTGGAAGGAAAAATAACCTGTGGGAGGACACAGCACCGCGTGAAGGAAGCACCTTCCAAAACCACGGCTACACAGCCAAGACCTGGAGGCGCACGCCCTGGCCTGGCCGCATGGGCGCATGGGGCAGGGCAGGACAGGAGCGCTGCAGGAAGGCGCAGCTCCAGGGACTGGCACCACTGGGGACTTATCTGTGGCCATCAGCACAAGCAGGTGTCCTCCCTCCGAGGGAGCTCCTGCTAAAGCTGTCCAGAGGGAGCAACCGCTGCAGGTGCACTGCCCCCGGCCTTCCACACCCATAGGTGCTGGCTCTCCACAAGCCTCAGCCTCTGAGGGGCGGGTGGGCCCCGTAGCCCCTCCTGAGTGACCCTCCTCCCTCAGGGCCAGCCCCCTGTGGCCCAACTCCTGGTGGGGAGCAGGGAAGGTCCTGTTCTGCCCCAGAGCCCACCCAAACCCCAGCGCCGGTCCCCCCCGCCCTCCCGCCACTTTCTGCCACCGAGGCTGCCTTCCTGGGTTGGTGACGCTCCCACTGACCCTCCACCCACAGAGAGTGACAGGTTTGCTTGTCCTGAAACGAACCCAGACAATGGTGTCCAATGAGGGCTGGCCTCTCCCGCCCTGCTGGGCCAGACACTCTCCGAACGTGGACGCAGCATCTCCTTCGACAGCTCTGCCCGTCCTGCCCTTGCTGCCCACTAGCGCTGGTCTGGATTAGCCGAGTCCCAATCCAGTCCTACTGTAGCCCAACCTCAACTCTGGTGCCCCATGCTTGCCAGGCCCCTCCAGGGAGCCCTCGATACCAGAACCTCAGAGCCCAGGCCCAGCCAGGGTGTCTGCCGCCGCAGCAGCCTGTGGTCCTGGCAGATGCGGAAGCCACCACCACCACACTGTTGCCCGAGTCTCGCCCCAGCCTCTCACTTCTTCTGAAATCTTGTTTTTCTTTACTGATCACTTCTACTGATTCTGAAGTCCACAGACTACTCTGTCATCTTCAACCTGCTCGTACCTCTATCTAGTTCATTTTTATCTCACAGTGTAATTGTGAAGAATTTCCATCAGTCTAGTTCTTTTATATTTTGCTTTTATTTCCTACTTTTTTCCTTCAGTGCTGGGGATGGAAGCCAAGACACCTGGCCTGGCCAGGTCATCACTGCACTGCTTAACCACATCCCCTGATGTGCGTGCGTGCGTGTGCATAGGACCTTACTATGTAGCACAGCCTAGCCTAGCACTCATGATCTGCTTCTATAAGTGCTAGCATTACAGGAGTGTACCACCACCCCTGGCAGCATGCCTTGCTTTAGGTCCTGGAGGTCCTTCAGATGAGATTTGCTAATGCCCTCCACTGAGTGACCATCCTGAGGTCAGTCTCCCTGGTGCCGTGTCGTGAGTAAAGGTCACACCATCGTTTCTTCCTTTCCTTTAATTAGTGTCCAACAACGGAGGAGTACCGAATGAATGAGAAGCACTGGGAATGATGTATCAGAGGCTACCTTCTGCTCTTCCTTGGAGGGTCGCTTCTACTAGCTTTAGCCGTGCTGCCCGAGACCAGTCCATACCCATCTGCCTGAGACCAGTCCGTACCCATCTCAAGAGCCAGCCAGAGATAAGCAGTTTGTAGGGTGGGGGTGGGGCCCCCCCCATCCTCACTCTCTTTGCAACATAGGGAGTGCAGCTATCTATCAAGTCGTAGCTACCCTGTATGGCATCAAGAAGGAAATCTTGAGGCTGAAAGGTGTAATAAAAACCAGAACAGGATACGGTGGCACATTCCTTTCACCTTGGCACTGAAGCAGGAATATCCCGAGTTTGAGACCAGTCTGGAGGCTGGGAGGGACAGAACAGATGAGGGAAGGGAGGAGAGGAGGGCAGGGAGTCGGGGAGGGGAGAGAGGCCCCACATTTTAGGGTGCCAACTTTCTGCCCTGTTTGTTATCATGAAACCTGAAGAGAGAACACGCCGCTGTCCTTCCCAAGGAGCAAACCCAGCGAGCCCCGCCCCGCGGCGTCTAGTTTGGGCTGAGGGTGGAGCGCGAGGGGCGGGCGGGGCAAGCTTCTCACCGCTCAGCACGATGGGAGGCTGGGGCAGGCACCGCGCAGTGCCTGTGCACGGACGCCCCGGCCCCCAGTACCCACGGATGCTGGGCATCTTGTACACGCTCCAATCTCACGTGACGGACGTGTACCCGTTATTGTTCCCACTTCCCAGTGGCAGAGGGGTGACAGCTAATTCAGATGACAACTAGTAGTGACAACTCCATGGGCGGAGCCCAGCTATCGCCTGCTATACCCCATGTGCCCTATGATGAATCTGCTGCCTGGGGAAGCCAGCTTCCCGCTCCGTCTCCTCCTTGCTACTGGCTCCATGGCCTATGGGAGGCGACAGTGGCAGTCCCAGGACTGGGGAGGATCCTGGGCTGGGGGAGTCATGGCTTCCTGCCCTTTACCTCACCTGCCCGGCAAACCCTTAGGAGGAGGTTTGAAATTTGCCACCAGCTGGGGCTTGGGGCTGGAAGAGACTCAGGGAGCGGCATGAGGCTGAGGGAAGAGGCCCAGGCAGGGGTTAACTCTGCATTGAGACCACCAAGGACACTCACGCCAGCTCCTGACCCAGTTCTCCTGGGCACCCAGCCTCGCCAGCTCACACACAGAGATGGCCCAGGCCAGCGCGCCCAGCGGCCGATGCCCACCATGAACACTGGCAGCCAGGTGTTAGCTGGTCACAGCTCTGAGCCCTTCCACAGGCGGCGCCTCACCTGGTGCGGTGCTGTACCGGGCGCCCAGCGGGGCCACACCACATGCACAGAGTTCCGGCGCCCAGCAGGGCCACACCACACGCACAGAATCCCGGCGCCCAGCGGGGCCACACCACACGCACAGAGTCCCGGCGCCCAGCAGGGCCACACCACATGCACAGAGTTCCAGCGCCCAGCAGGGGCCACACCACACGCACAGAGTCCCGGCGCCCAGCAGGGGCCACACCACACGCACAGAGCCCTGGCAGCGGGGCCACACCACACGCACAGAATCCCGGCGCCCAGCAGGGCCACACCACACGCACAGAATCCCGGCGCCCAGCGGGGCCACACCACACGCACAGAGTCCCGGCGCCCAGCGGGGCCACACCACACGCACAGAGTCCCGGCGCCCAGCGGGGCCACACCACACGCACAGAGTTCCAGCGCCCAGCAGGGGCCACACCACACGCACAGAGTCCCGGCGCCCAGCGAGGCCACACCACACACACAGAGCCCTGGCAGCGGGGCCACACCACACGCACAGAGCCCTGGCAGCGGGGCCTGCTGCCCCCTTGCCTCCTCTCCCCACCCTTGCACTCCCGCATCCCTGTCTTGGCTTGGGACTCCGCTCTGCTGACGGCAGGTGCGAAGTACGTCCAACCCGAGGCCTGGTCCCGCTGGAAGCCTGGACCCCTGAGACCACCAGTGGCTCCATGTTAGGCCTCCTGATCTCACTCCCCACCCGGGGCTGGGGTGACCTGCTCAGCTACCTCGGTGCTCCAGAGCCTTCCACAGCTCCTCGTAGTCAGATGCTGTGATTGAACTAATCTATGTGGCAGTACTGGGCTTGGAACCCAGGCTTCTGACCCTGAGGCCACCATCTTAGCCCCAACTTCCCAAGTCAGCAGCTTCAGTCTCATGTCATCCTTCCTACCCCTGCCCTGGGCACTGGAATCTACTGGGGCCCTGTCTGCTGCAGAGAGGACCCCAGGGAGGCCATGCAGCAGAGCCAGACGAGGTGTAGCTGGATCACCCAAGGTCACCTGTCTCAACAAACTGAGTGGGCACACCTCCACTGACTGCTGCCACCCAAACGTTCCTTCACTTGGTGGGGCAGGGCCCATGCCCAGCTTCAAACCGCCTGTGGCGCCCCTTGGCGCGATGCACGCCTGTAGTCCTAGCTAGCCAGGATCCTCACGGGCACCCGAGGCTTCAGGCCAGCCCTGACCACCTCGTGAAATCCCCTC